ATACCATCTTCTGTACCTTAGCAGAATCTTTCTTACAGAAAATTATATTTCATCCTTTGTCTCTAAAAAAAATCCCTCTTCTCCCATCCAATTTTAAAGCTTTGAGGCTTTTCTCCGCCTTTCCCCTTTCTTTCTTCCCCCACCAAATCTTCCTACCCCCCCTTCTTCTTCTAACCTCTACCTTGCTGGGATCCCTTCTCTGTTGTGTTCCCTTTTTCTCTTGTTTGTTATCATTATATTTACTTTGCATCATATTTTTCTCTTTCTCAAATGTTTTTTTAGATCTTAAGTCCTTCATTTTCCTTGCTCTCTTCCTTCCTTCTTCCTTAGATAAGTTTTGGGATTCAATGAAGATGGCGTCTTCGTCTCTTCCTTGTTGTTCTTCTTCCGTTTCCATCTGTTCCATTGTCTGTTGGTAATTGACCAGCGCCATTTCTAGAAATAGAAAAGCTTTTTCCATGCCATCTTTGCAGGTTGCTTTTGTTTGCTCATATTCATCCCTCAGGTCTTCAAAAAGGAAAGCCATTATAAATAAATCTTTTCTTTTCTTTATTCCTCTTTCTTCTTACACCAACCAAATATTCCGAGAGAAAGGCAAAACAATCCCAAAATCCACAATCCTCAATAAATCCAAGCAAGCCAAAATTCCCCCTTCCTCTTCCAGGGGTGGTATCAAACAAATAAAAAAAAAGAATCCAAGTCTATATTTTAAAGCCTTATTAAGATTGTATTTCTGTCCTCAAGTCTTCAAGGCATCTCCTCCAACAAGATCCAAATTTATATATTTTCTTTATCCTCTCCCTTCCGGCTTAATTCCGTCGGGAGGGAGAGTAAACTTTCCCTTCAGCACCTCAAAATAGCCGCTTTTTTTTCTCTTGTGGAAGAAATCATCAGAAAACCATCTTTTCCAGGAATTAAATTAGATAAATCTCAAAGCCCTGGGTCGACCAAGAAGAACTTTTACTTTCAATAACTTTCTCTTCTTCCTCCTGCGCATACTTGCCCGGCTGTCAACTTCTTTGTGGCGGCCATTACGGACCGCCGCTGCACCGTCCTGGTAACAGGGGGTTCTGCCGGCCAGGGAGGGGGTCTGCAACACCCCCAAACCCTTCCTCCGGATCCCCCTTACCTTCAGCTACCCCTGCAGGGCAGCCTTGCTCCGCACCCGTCCGGGTCGGAGCCCCAAAACGGCTAGCGCGGCAGGGATCGCGCAGCTTCGCGAATCCCTACCGCTCGCGAAGCCGACAAACCGGAAAACCCCCAAAGATGGTAAACATTTAATGTATCAGATTATGGGAAGCATATACTACTGGTAGATCCCTGACTGGCAAAGAATTCTTATTTGAGGAATGTAAACAGCTGCCCCAAATTATATGCTAAAATAAAAATTGCTTGAAGTTCTAAGATCCAATTTTTCTACAGAAGAAAGGACTGTTATGTGGTGACATCCAAAGCAATTCTTGCCCTCAAGAAATTTTATTTCAATTTCCCAAAGCTGGTCCTCTATCAGTGCAGATACCACCAATTCTTCACAAAATAATTCAAATAAAATGTATTAAATTACTTAGCAATGGCCTGGTTCAAAACTAGAAAGCCATTGCATGTTACTCTTCCATTTGATTAACATTTTGTGGCAATTAACCTTGTCTATTTCAGTATGAGACCTGCCTATGTCTCACAAATTAAAAAGCAAACATACACTATCCCTGAGGTCAATCTTCACATTGAATCTAGATTTTTTTTTAATGAATAAGCTATAGTATTTAGGTTATTATATCAGGAATCACCCCAAATAACACATCACTTGGCAGGATGTATAAACCATGTGTTCATCATCTCTTCAGTGCAACACTACATCACACTCAATTGTTTTGTTTACTAGATAATGGTAACGATGTCCAACATGGGTTTTACCACTAGTTTGACTGACTTTAGAGGGAGGTGCTCATTTCCACTTCTTAATCGTTGTCCAGAGATGGTTCCATGGTCATGTGGCTGGCCTGGCATCATGCCACAGTTTAGAGTGTACGGTGAAACATGGAACCCTGTTATCTTCCTACGTACTTATGTGCAGTACTTATTCATCTACTTGCATTTGCATGTTTTCAAACTGCTAGGCTGGCAGGAGCTGGAACAAGGGACTACTACTTGTTTGCGAGACACTCTAATTCTCACTGCTGGTGACCTCTCATTTTACTCCCCCCTTTGCCTACAATGATGCCTGGATAAGCACTTATTCCTGTCTGAAGACAATCCAATGTTCTTGATGAGCTAAACTTTAATATACATAAAATAATATGCAAGACTATTAATCTTTAAGATGCAACCATTTTCTGTATGTTGCTGCAATAAATGCAGGAAACTTTCTAGAAATTTCTAAGGATACTTTTACTCCTTCAACCCTCAGCCACGATGCCATTTCACTGTAACGTTGTGTTGTCCTTCCATCTTTCATGATAGTAATAGATCATGGATCATAGGGCTGGAAGAGACCTCAGAGGTCCAACTCCCCTGCCCAAGGCAGAAGTCTTTATTCCATCGCAGAAAAATAGATGTCCAACCTTTTCTTGAAACTCTTCAGCAATGGAGCACCCACAACTCCAGGAGGCAAACTCTTCCACAAATTGTTCTGTCAGGAAATTTCTTAATTCCATATCGGACCTCTCTTTAACAAGCTTCCACCCATTGCTCCGGCCCTGCTTTGGAGAATATCAACCCCTCATCTCTGTATCTGCCCTTCAAGTGCTGGAAGACACCCTCTAACCCTTCAGTTTCTTAGGCCAGACATACCTCGTCTCCTTAACCATTCTTTGTAAAATTAAGCCTCTAGATCTTTTATCACCATTGTTGCTCTTCTCTGTGTTCTTTCTACAGTTTCAGCATCTTTTGTATTGTGGCAACCAGAACTGGATAGAGTATTCCAAGTGTGGTCTTACTAGTGTAGTATAAAAGGTACTATCACCTTTTGTGATCTTGATGCTATTGATGCGACCTGCATTGGGTTTTTTGGCAGCTGCAGTTACACTACTGGTCATATGTAAGTAGTAGTCTATTAGGATATCTAGGTCTCTCATTTCTATGAAGTGACAAGATCCTGGGGATAACCGTCTGCAATTTAGGATATAGATAAGAAAAGCAAAAAAACAACAACCAGTTTTGGCTTTTTAGTTTTAAAAACTAAAAATTGGGTAAAGTTAACGGGCAATGTGTACAATCACTCTGCTGAAGTAATCAAAAGCCCATCTTGTCCAGCATTTTGTACTAGTGGAAGCCAATTAGATGCCTCTGCAAACCCCAGAGCAAGACATGAGTGCAACAGTACATACCATGGGTGTTTTATTCAAACTCTTTTTGACCTGCCTTTTTTTTCTTTAGCTTTCATCATGAGCATCACCAAATACTCTCAAAAGGACATTGCTGAAGGTGTTTTAAAAGATGTTCCTCTATTTTTCCAGCTATGTAATGCACTTTTGGAGATCCAAGGATCAGAACCATACAAATTATCAAATTCTAATAATCCCTCAGTTTGTTTTTAAAAATAGCCACACACTCTACCCAAATCCAGAGTTTCCTGCTCAGCCTCTACCAAACCCCTTTAGCAGCATATAAAATAAGAAATCGCTTCTACTGAAAGTGGACAAATTTTGCTTTGTTGTGACCTTTTTCTACTGTAGTTATGAATAGCTGTTTATTCCCAGCCATTGGAAATGTAGTGCCCATTAGGTTATGGCATATGTACTTACAATACAGGACTCTCTCCCTCTCATAAGTTTTGTGATAGCAATAAAAATGTAAAAAATTAAGTTTCAAAATCTTATAAAACGTCCTGGATCAAAAATGCATTGTAAATGAAAATATCAGAATATTGTGAAAACTATTCTGCAAGGCTGACCAGAACCAGAATATTTTTTATTAGTATTAGTCTCTTCCTGCTGTTTCTTCGAAGAAAGTCCAGCTGCCTTCTGGCTGTCAGACTCCCCTTTTCAACTCAAACAGTCTTTCAATTCCTGCTATCAATGTAATTAACCCAGTAGCTCTCCTTGATCACAGAACTAGCTTCCCCTTTCCATCAATGGATTTATCACATGCAGCTTGGGAGCAGGAAATACCTCTCAGTCCCACCCAGTTTTTTCCCAATATGAATATACAAATGTCAACCTTATAATTATTTTCATCATTTCCTGAACCAGAGAAAGGGAGCCCAGAAGTGTAAATCTTGTAGTGAGGCGATTGGCAAATTTAATAAATAAACAGCCTGGATGTTAAAGGAGCCGGCTGATAAACAAGTCCTGACAAAGTGCCTCCTGCCACTGTCTATCATGACTGATTGGGACGAGACCTCCCCTACAGACATATGTTGCTCCTTCTGTTTTAAAAACTTCTAAATATTACTGTAGTCCTGGCTTTGGTTGTTCAATTATATCTTTGGGATTGTCAAATTGGGTGGCTTCACAACACAGGTAAAACACAGTTCCAAGAGCTGAAGCTATGTCATCAACAGGGGAATTAAAAGGAATGCCTTCAAATTCCAACTCATTAATCAGTTATCTGATGTGCTTGGGTGAAGTTTCTTTCTTAATAGTCACCCACAAGAAATGAGCCACAGCGGAAACTGTAAGACAGAAAATGATGACAAACTTGCAAAGTGCTCTCTCATTCTACTCCCTGAGCATGGCTTTGGATTTTTGCTTTTTGAGCAATCAATCTGTAACAGACAATTCACTCTGGCATAGACTTTGTATGAAAAAGAGCACCTCTTAGTGTTGGCTGTCAAGCAGAATTGCCTCAGAAATGACCTGCAGAAGAAAAACTACCAGTTAATAAAAACTTCTTTACTATAAAGACCGTGGTCTTTACAGTAAAGAAGTTTTACTAAATTGCAGAGTCCACAGAGTCATAACAGACCACGACAAATAAATATGGCTAAATGTCAGATAAACTGAAAAAGGAAATTGAGTAGTTGCAGCCATAGCACAATTACGTAAATAAACAAACACAAATTTTAGCAGTTTTTTTTTTTAATTCTTCTCCTTTGTATCAAGTCCTTCACTTTAATATTCAAGGATCTTATTAGTCTGCTATTTGCTGACACATCTTGAACATTAGAATACATTACTTTTTTCTCCCTGCTCCACCCCATGTTTTTGCAAATTACCTTATTAAATAAATATGGACTGTAAAAAATAATTGACTGCAACTTGGGTGGTATCAGACTGAAAAGCTTCTGCTATATTCCGAATTCCACTGTCCATAAAGAATATATGGAATCTGTTCTCTTCTGCTTTCTTCAGAGGAATACCAACTGCTGTTTAGAGAGTAATAAGACTCCTACAATGTTAAAGAGATTTCCCCAGTTTGCAAGGAAAATCATTTCTAGATTATATCCATGAAGGTGGACCACTAAATTTGCTGAGATGTTCTCTGTGAGTCCTTGAAAGTCATTCTGATAACGATAGTGATGATTCCTGGATTCCAAACGGCATAAAAATATAGAGAAATAAAGTCTGATGGTATTTATTTCTGAACTTTCCATTTCTTTTTTTTCCCACCAGTAACTTTTTTCCTGACTCCGAGCGCTCCTTCTGCATCATCATCATCATCACCATCATTTGTCTCATCTCGAGAGCGTTTCTTCTTTTCCCCTTGTTGCCGCAATTCCTGTGAAGGAAACAGGAGAACGTTATCACGAGACCTCTAAGGAAATCATCACTGAGACAATGAAAAAGATGAATAGCTGCTGAAAATATTAAACAACCATTATTTTTTGGCATGTGATTTTGCATTCAGATATCCCCATAGGTAACATTTTGAGCATTTTATTTAATAGAAGTTAATTAGGAAAGGGTCTGGTAGTGGTAGCAAAAGCAAAAGGCAGCTTAGAGTTGCTCCTGAGTTAATGGGATGCTTTTAATTTTGAAATGAAAAAAGAAGAACTAGAACAGTGATGGCATGCAATACAGCTCTTCATGCAAGAATAAAAGAATCTCTCAGCTCTTGAAACCAGGGGTGGGATGCTACTGGTTCTGCCCGGTTCTATAGAACTGGTAGCTCTGAAGAGCAGCAGACACCGAACCGGTTCTGTGTTTGCTGCTGTTTGGCCCACCTGCCCACGTGGGCTCTTACCTGTCCTTTATTTCCTGCTTTTTCAACCTCAGCTGCTTTGCATGGCACAGCTGAGGTTGAAAAAGCAGGAAAAAAGAGGCTTTTCAAATGCTGCGCATCTGCGCGCTGCGTTTTTCAGCTGTCCAGGCGGCACAGCAGATGTTCTTTTTACACACAAAACATAGTCACCGAACCAGTAGTAACACCGGTTGAATCCCACCCCTGCTTGAAACCTTGTTTGGAATTTGACTGCCCAAGCAACATACACCTGAGGCTGTATAAATGCTAATATTATTCTCACAATTATGGGTGCAACAGCCACATTTCTACATAAAACAAACCCAGACCGAGCATTAAAACAGCCTACCATGCGAGCAAATCTCTGGGCTTCAGCCACACGCTCAGTCAACATCATGACCTCTTCCTCCTGAGAGGGAAAGGCTGGCAGCTTTTTGCCAATCAGGTGCTCAATGCGCTGGAAGAGTTCCACATCATACCTGGAAGAGGAGAAAGAATCTCACCCTATTTAATTCCCTGTCAGTTACTTGAGTGTTAAAAGCAACAAATTCACCAATATTTTTATGCTACTGATTCATTTTACTAATTTTTCTTTTCAATCTTTAACAAAACAGAACTTTGTCCACTATATAGCAAAAATACAATTCATCCCCGAAGAGGCCCTGAGCCAAAACCATTCTAGACATTAGTATTATATAAGAACAGAGCAAATAATACCATAAACTATGATCTGTTTGGAGCAGGGCTGTCAAACTCCCAGCCCATGGGACAGATGCATCACGTGCTGGCTACGCCCACACCCAATATAACAAAGGGGGGGAGGAAGTCCCGATACATCACGTGACACTGCCGTGACTATGTGAGTTTGATACCCTTGGTCTGGAGGATTCTGCTGCAAATACTAGGCAGGCTATCTGCTCGTCCAGGTTTACTCCTCAGTAAACGCATGCAGGGGCTTCACCCGTCAATTTATGGGCAGTCTACACAGATTAAGGCCAGGTGTGATGCAGAAACTTAATAATGTTAGGAAAAGCTATGCTTACATTATGTATGCTGGGAGGCAGAGCAATCTAGCATTGGAAGGAAGGAAGGATTAGCCCAACTCAAGAACTGTTCTCTCAAATCTCCTTCCAACCTTGCAGGGAGTGGGATGCTTCTCCTCCCCACACCCCACCCGTTTACTGCAAATTGTGGGTCCCTTGAAATAACTCTGCATTCCCCAAGGACTCTGTAGCTGGAAATCACTGCATTGTAATACATAAATTCTGATAGTGGCACAGCTGGAGTAGCAAAAAATAATATCTTACTGTGTCACAAAGGTGATTGATTTACCAGATCGTCCAGCTCGAGCTGTTCTCCCTACTCGATGAATGTAATCCTGAAAGGAATCCAAAGTAACAGAACAAGATGGTGGACATAGGACAACCACTAAGATAAATGTCCCCAAAAGAGGACATTCGCAGCATAAATGTCAATTATTAAAACAGACAGTTTTCCAAAGAAAGGAAACCATCTCAGCTTTCTAAAAGCTGGTAAGGAGAAAAGCAAGTTAATTCCCGAAAAAGCAATACAGTATGCACAATTCATAGTGCAAAATGTAAAGGCATATGTGACCCTGCTGTCATTTGAGATTCCAACTGGTGCTGCTGCCACCACTAAAGGTGACAGTCCCATCAACTCACATCACTGCTTCATACCTACAATACGAATTCATTTTATCTATAATTCTCACTCTTTCATTCAACCTCTTGCTAACATACCTTTAGCCTTCTGAGCTTTAATATCACTCAATGCTTTCTAACTGTATATGAAATCATGGAAGAACAGGGCCAAGAGCTGCCTATTTTCTTCTTGTTTATTTTATAGATCTTTTATAATTTCCCCCAATTCACAAACTCTGAGCAGTGTATAAAGAATAAAAACATAAAAAGCAACAACATTAAATCCCCCTCCAAGACAAATGTTGCTAATCAATGAGGATTAAAGGCACAGCAGAACAGACTTGTTCCATGAACTTACAAAATGTTAAAAGAGACAGCAAGAGCTACAGGAACTTGGTGAGAGCAATATTCTGGGGGCCACAATAGAAAAGCCTTGCTGTGGGGCCCAGGTCTCTTAAACCTCACACAGCAAACCTTCACAAAAAGTTCTTAATAGATAGGCAAATTCAGTTTCAAAATCTGTAATGATGCTTTTTTCAAATTCTAGGCGGCAGAGTTAGTCATACCTCAGCTAACAGCTCTTTCCAACTCACCTTGGAATGGGTAGGAATGTCAAAGTTTATCACTACATCAACATGTGGTATGTCAAGACCTCTGCTTGCAACATCAGTAGCCAACAAGATGGACCGTGCTTTAGCCTTGAACTTGTTCAGTGATCCTAATCGTTTATTCTAGAAGGACAAAAGAGCACATTAGCATTTACACTTCATTTTTCCACTTCATTTAGCATGGCAAAATGGAAGGTATGAAAGCATTGTTTATTAATCACAATGTTTGAATGCGTCACACACAATCACACTGGGCAAAAAAAATATTGAAAGGGAAACAAATTTGAGGATGCATGCACACTTATTTGCTCTTTATGCACATTTGTTACTTCATATAGTAATCTAGATTCTAGAAGTTTTCTTGCAAGCACATTAGCCTGTACCTGGCTCATCTGTCCATGGAGGGGAATAGCAGTAAAGCCCAAATTTCGAAGCAAGAGTGCCGTCCTCTGAGTATTGTTGCATGTGCTGCAGAATATCATGAATGAGTTGCCAGCAAGTTCATTCAGAATGTAGACAAGGTAACTATCCTAAGAGCATCAGAAAAAGAACTTAAATCAGGAAATATGAAAGGCAAAGGGGAACACATTTAAAAAGACAGCAAATACTAAAGAAAGTCCAAAATGAAAAGGAAAATTAAATTACCTTGAACTTGGATGGAATAAAAATATAGTATTGCTGAAGTTTTTCAACTGTCTGATATTTTGAGGATACTGCACATTTCACGGGGTCTTTGAGGGCTGCACGCTGGAGTTTTTGCACCTGAGAATTAAAATTAAATTTGCAGACAATAATTCCACTGTACCGCTACCTCCCAATCCTGTGTCATTCTCCTAAACAAATGCAAAGTGTCAAGCTGCCTCATACCTTTTTAGTCATCGTAGCAGAAAACAGAAATGTCTTCCTGTCTCTGGGAATTACTTTCAGGATCTTATCTACCTGTAAAGAGGACAGAGAATAGAATAGAGCACTGATCAATGTGTATGCATGTATGCAAAAGAACAGAACACTGATCAATGTGTGTGCATGTATGCAGACCTATACCAGGTATGCCTGATGGAAGCAATAGAGCAAGAACTTTCAATTTAAGCCAAGAGATTGCACTACTCTTCAGCAAAGTATGATGAGCTTAGCAACGAAAAGGTTCCAGTGGGAACAGTTCAAATTTAAGTGGGTTCACTTTAGCAAGGATGTACTGGGAAGGGTCATATCCATATTAAAGGAACTTAATAAATCTACTTCCTAGGCAGCTACTTCTAAATGACCAAGAGAACACAGGTATACATTCAATATCAGGAAGGAAAACCTGAGAGGTCCCATGAATGTACATGTTATTTTGGAACCATATTTCTAAAAAATACCTGCTTAACAATACAATGAATCATGAATCTAAAATGGCAGGGATGGGCACATCTCACCTCTGTTTCAAAATCCATATTGAGGATCCGGTCAGCTTCATCCATCACTAGGTATTTCAGAGCTCTAAGATTGAAGCCCTTTGTATTCTCAAGATGATCAATAAGACGACCAGGCGTAGCTACCAAGAGAAAGATGTTATACGGATTCTTTATTTATTCATTTATTTGTATCTCACCTTTATTATTTTTTACAAATAACTCAAGGCAGTGAACATATAAAACACAGCTTCCTCCTCCTATTTCCCCACAACTTTGTACGGTTGATCGGGCTGAGAGAGAATGGCTAGTGCAAGTTTACCCAGTTGGCTTTCATAGCTGATTATGGAAGACTAGAACTCACAGTCTCCTGCTTTCTAGTCTGTTGTGGCTCTTTTGGTCAACAGACAAAATAGGGCCATTGCTTCTCTATGCCAAAAAGTTTGAAAGCCTATTGTGAAGAGTATAGATCAAGCTAGAGCCCTAAATAGACCTGAAATTACATGGGCTTGTTGACTCTCAGCAACCCTGGGACTTGCTTCTAAATAATTTTAAATGAATTCCTCTCTAGGAAAGAATAGATAGCTAATCCATTCATTCTAAAGCTAAATTTGATGAGGACATGCTATCCAAACAGCATATATCTGTTACTACTGTCCACAGGAAATTTGTCAAAGTGAAAGATAATGAATTACAGAAATTAAACTTAGATATTCAAAGCAAACAGAACAATCAAAAGAACATTGCAAGTCATTGTGTCAGATATGTTTTCTCAATTGTTATTTTTTTAAAATACAAGATCAGCAGTTAACTAGACTCATGGATCATTAAGGTGGCAAGGCAAGAGATGGGGAGTGCATCAGATGGTCAATTGTATCTCCTAACCCTTATTTAGTATCTCACAGTTTTGATAAGATCAAATTGTAGGTTAGATCCTTACCAATAATTACATGGGGCTTCTTGGCTAGGGCCAGAGATTGGGACATCATGTCAATTCCTCCAACAATGACAGCTTAGGAAAGAAAAGAAAACATTAAATAATGCCCACCTCAGCAAGTCAATCTCAACACTATCCAAACAGTTTGTCTCTGTAAGTAATGTATTTGCTATATTGTCAGCTAGAAACCAAATAGCTTGCAGTGAACATTAGACAGACATTATGATGCAAGATTTGTGTGTAAACAGGAACAATAGTTGCAAATTTTATGTATATGATAAAGAACATTTAGAACAACTAGAGGAATCTGTGTATCTTGGTAGAATATTTAGTAAAGATGCTTTTGCACCTACTTATTCTCTTAAATTTCACAATGTTTTATATTCATTTGAAGTCTTGCAGCTATACTACTTACTACTCTGGACACCGATGGAAGATCCAAGAGCCTCAAACTGTTCGGAGATCTGAAAGGCTAACTCCCGGGTGGGTGTAAGTACCAGAGCAAAGAAGCGCTGGGGAGTTTCTAATAGTGCCTGAAGGATGGGCAAAGCAAAAGCCGCTGTTTTTCCAGATCCTGTCTCTGCTAAGCCAATGATGTCTCGACCTATGAGGGAAAAAAGTGTCACATTCAACACCAACGAGGAAAAAAAAGTAACATAGTAATACAAATTGACAGAACCAAAATTTTAGTTGAGCAAATGTACAAACAGAGAACCAGAAGTAAGACGGTTCTTTTTTCACTTACTGAAGCATTTGGCTCTTCTCCCAAACACCAAACAATCTTTAAAAACTGTACTTATCCTTACATTAATGTAGGGTTAGACTAAACAATGGAGGTGTGTGGAAAGATCCCATAAATAAATAAAAGATGCCTTGCTGTTTAGCGTAGTTCACAGACTTGGAAATGCAGACATTGTTCTGAATAACACATTAAATCTGTATTGGAAACTTTCTTCCTTTCCCTTAAATTGCAGGTCCCAGAATCATACGTACCTTGGAGTGCAACTGGAATAGCTTCTACTTGGATCTTTGTTGGTGTCTTCCATTCTAACTGGCTGCATGCTTCACATAGTACATCTGTCACTCCCTGTTATTTCAAAGGAAAAAAAAGGGAAGAAGCACATCTATGATGAGCAAGAGGCCACAGATCTGAATACAATTTCTGTGTCCAGAAAACTGAAAATTTTAAAGGACAATTATATTTTTATTAATGTATGTTTATAGCTTCCTGTACAAAAGCATCTGAACGCAAATTTATACAATGCAAAATATAATATAAAATAAAGCAAACCATATAATAATAAAGGAAAGGAAAAATGATTTATCGGACCTTCATACAGAGAAGGCTCGGGTAACGATATAGATCTTCATCAGCTTTCCAATGTAAGTTATAACAGTGTCTCATAGCAATAGCAATATCCCTTAGATTTATATACCACTTCAGTGCTTTACAGCCCTCTCTAAGTGATTTACAGAGTCAGCATATTGCCCCCAACAATCTGGGCCCTCATTTTACCAACCTCGGAAGGATGGAAGGCTGAATCAACCTTAAGTCTGGTGAGAGTTGAACTGCCAAATTGCAGGCAGCCAGCACTCAGCAGAAGTAGCCTGCAGTACTGTATTCCAAACACTGTGCCACCGTGGCTCATGAATTTCAAGAGAGAAAACTGTCCAGAGTAAAATTCTTATCACAGAGAAAGCTTATCAACAGGCAAACATAATTGCATCTTGCAATTCTAGGCAGATGCAGGAGGACCTTGTCCAACAAATAAAGAAATTGATCAAGACTGAAATTACAAAGACAATCCCATCCAATTCAGGGCCTTGTAGAGTTTTACAAGCTTACTGACAGCTAATGTAATTATTTTTAAACAAATTACTATCTTTAATAATATTATTGTTTAAATATTAGATAATGAATTATTGAATTGCTCAGATATCCTTCTTAAAAAAAAACCAGTTGGTATACCAACCAAAGCTGCCATAACTACTTGATCCTCCAGTGTCAGCAATGATTTAGCAATACCTTCACTATATATTTATTCTTTCTAACGAAGTGCAATCTCATAGAAAATTCCTATCTCTGGGAACCACTCACTACCTGTTTTCCTCCCATCTTGAGTAGTTCTATTGAAGAAATGTCAAGGAGATAGTGGAACAAATGGCCACACTTCAGAGTGGAAACCACAAGGATTTATCAGTTCAAAAAAAGCATAACAAAAATGATCCAAAGAAGAAGAAGCAAGCCCAGAGGACAAAAGTAACCACCAGAATGCAAAACTCCTTTGCCCCAATGGAACTCAGAAATATTTTCAGGCCCTTGTAGATGAAACAGACTCTGAAGAAAACCACACAATGCAAAATGGGATTGCTCCAAAGCCACATTATAGTCACATATTCCAAAATCCAGTCCTCCTGTCAGACAGAGCTAAATCTACAAGTGACAGAGTCATATTTTCAATCTCATACAGAATCAGAATTCTCCCAGCCCCTCCTTCTTAGCAGAGGAAAAAGTTTTAATTCTTTGAGAACTACGGGAGAAACTTGAGTACCGGCGCTGGAAAATGGAGAAACCTAACAGTGTTCCTCTGATGAAGGTGGGAATCTGACAGAAGCTCAAAAAATCCATGAAGGCAAAAAGGGACTTGTGCATCAAGAATCTATTTGTCTCCTGGGAATTGGTAAACAAGCCCAGAGGAAAAAAGAGTGTTATTTTTTATCTTTTTCTTTCTTTCTCTCTCTAGGTTGCTAGTTAAGCCTTTTTATCTTGTGGTTATATTTTCTTGGAAAACAGAGAAAATTCTGCCCATCTGTCATTAGCTTCCCCCCCCCCCCCCGCCCCCATCAAGCTAGATCCAGAAAGTATTTTTTTTCTATATGCACTTCTTGTGAACTAAAATATAAGTAGCAGACTCTCTTCGAAGATCTTGCCCAGCCATGTTAAATGAAGCAAATTAGTGCCATCTTGTGATCTGTCTCAAACACTACATTGTTGTTTTTTTAAAGTAAACACTTTTACTCTTTCTTTTATTTTACTTAAAATAACATGATTCTGTTTCTCTTTTACACTGGTCTGTCTTCAGAAAGGAAGAAAAAAAGTGGTGAAACCCTTAGGAGGTTTTAAACTGAATTCTTGGATGGGAAGAAGCAATAACTCTACAGAGCTTTAAAACTGTGTAACATAAAAATGAGAAATATTAATGAAATGGGATCCTTTCCTTTATTATTAAGTGCTATTGCTATATGAAATAAATAACAACAATAAATAAGGTTTAAATTCTTAGTACAGAAAGGCAAATAGGACCTGGAGTGTGGCCTTCCATGACTGGAAAGAGCAATTGAATTTGTTCAAAAGATACATATACAATAGAAACAGCGGTTGCACTATCTGTAAAAAAAAAACCTCTATTCCTGCCAAAATCCAAACGAATTGCTCCTCTGCCTTCAGTCTATTTGCAGAACTGGTAAAAGTACTTCAAGATGAGTGTGAATTCCTAAAGAAGGAAACACTAAAAACATACTTGCAAACAGTTGTGAGAAGGGAAAATGGAGAACAGCAGAAATCAATGTCATTACACAAATTTAGAAAATATCTGAAGACAAAAAGCACATCTAGAAAAGTCCAGGTCACAAAAGAAGAATACAGACAAATATATGGAATTATATAGCTCCTGTCAGGAAAACTAATTCTCAGAAGAAGCTGTGTTTAGTAAGAATGACAGAAAAGACACACATATATATATAGATACATTCAAAATAAAAGGAAAAGGAAAAAATCTGTATAATAGCTGCTCAATGAAGCCATAAAATTACTAACAAATCACAAAGTAAAGTCAGAGCTATTCAAAAACTTTTCTTTTGGTTTAGTCATCTCCAAAATATTGTTTCACCAGAAAAATGTGACATGATAGCACTGAAGGTTGAGACAAAAACATGATCAAGAAATATTTGACTAAATTTAAAGTAAAAAAATGCAAAGTTAGTTGACTGGAAAATGCTAGTTGATGGGAAGTGAAGACCTCCCTATATTCAAAAATGGCCATAAACTACCGGTAGAATCAATGCAATGTTATTTTCTAAGAATCTAGGACAGATCATAAAAGGATCAATTTGTAATCACCTTTAAGACAATGGAGTAATTTATTAGCATTGATTTGGAAAGAAGAAATCTTGCCAGCCTTTCTTTACATCAAACTTAATAAATAGTAGGAATATTGCAGACATAATGAATCTTGATGACAACAAAGCATTTGACGAAGTATGCTATGACATGCTGATTAACGAGCTTACAAGCTAGTTAAGTGTTAGATGGCATGTCAATTAAATCAGTACATATCTGTCTTTGAAAATTATACACAGAAAGTTCCCATTAATGATTCCTCATCACACTGGACACAAGGTTGCCAAGACTACCCATAAGATTCAGTCCCAAAATCTCTTATCTGTCAATATTTGTATTAATGACTTGGATGAAGAAGAGACAATCCTTAATAGATCCACTTACACAAAATTGAATGGGATAGCTAATACCCTGGAAGACAGAAATAGAATGCATACAATTTTGATAAAATACAGAAACTGACAGAGAGTAAGAGAATGAAATTTTACAAAAGAAAAACGATGTCCTTGAAGGAAAAAAAGATCACAGTCACAAATATAAGATGGGAAATACCTAGCTTGGTGATAGTTGTGATACGGGATATACCTCTGGTCACAATCATAAGTTGTTCCATAACTTTGGAGATTTCTTCATCTTCTAATGTTTCGTCTTCAGGAATTTCTGGGTCAGGGGTCGTGTTTGATCACCACCCGAGTATGTGTTTATGAGCAGAACAGACCATGTGAAACAATGGATTCCAACTGTATCTCAGGGGGAAAACTTAATACCAAGTACATTTTGACACTGGGGCCTGGAAGGATATTTTCACCGTATGTATTATAACATAATTTTAAAAACCATCTTAGATGATTTAATTTGGATTCATGCAGTATTCAGGAGATTGAACTCAGTGGCTAAATGGTTCTAAAAACCTCAGAATAATGGCAATAGTAGGAAATAGATTTAGGATCATAAGAGAAAAATGTTTTATTTGGATTTTCCATATTGTTTTGACCACTTTCTTTCCCCTTTCTCATCCTGATGCATTCCACAGTGTCTCTAATGTGGTTCACAAAAAGACATCAATTTAGAGCGCAGCCACATCTAACTGAAATGTAATGAGGAAGCAGACTTCAGTACTACTAGAATATTAGTGACAGACAGCCTCTATGTAAATGTTTGAAACTACTGATAAAGCATTCTATGCCACTCTACAGGATAACTGTCAGGGTCTAGAGCAGGGGGTGTCCAACCTTGGCAACTTTAAGACTTGTGGACAAAGCTGGCTGAGGAATTCTGGGAGTTGAAGTCCACAAGTCTTAAAGTTGCCAAGGTTGGACACCCCTCCTCTAGAAGTACAGCAACCTACTTATTTGTTGAAGCCTATCCCTACATCTAACAATAGAACCAGTATAACAGTATTCCCAATCCTTAACTCAAAAATACCAGAAAGATACCATGATTAATGGTATTAAAAGCAGTCAAAAGGTCAAGCAAGATCAAAACTCGTATTTCCTCTATCTATCCCTGGAGGTCTACTATGACTAAATTTATCTCCAAACCATGCCAAAAACCAGACTAACAAGAGATATGACCAAGTCTCTCAGGACATTTGCAACTGCATAACCATTATTCTCTTAACTATTTTGTCTTCATAAGGTTGTTTCTGGAGCAAATGATATAAGTCTCGATCACCCTAATGAGATCACACTTGGATAGTTACCTGTATGCATGTATACAATAATGCTTATTAAGTCAGCTTTGAAGTGAATCACATCCCTGCATAGCAGTCTCTTTTAACTTAGTTTACAACTAGAGCACTTAAGATAAAGAGGAAGAACACCTGAGTTTAACATCAGAAGACAATCAAGAATGATTCTATAAGGATGACTAGTTCTTTTTCTCTATTCCATCAATACAATCACCATGTCTGGCTTTTGTAAAATTTGAAAGAATATTTTAAAAAATCAAAGTCTTGAGATAAAAATTAAATGAGGCAGTGCCCCACCCCATGACTTGTCTTTGTATTTATTGTATTCCAGAGATTAGGGTGGCATGTGTATAGGGGTATGTGTATATAAAAATAAAAATCCCTTCTTGCCCCTAAGAGTGGTATATCTTCCTCAATCTCAAGTTCTTTGCCAGAGGCCTGGAAGTCTGAAGGTTCCGCACCGTATCTTAGCTGTTCCTAACACTGCACTGTTTTGGACAGAAAGCTATGATGTTGTTGCTGGGATCAGTTGTAGCCATTGTCCAGGCTTAGGAGTCACAGTCTCGAGTGCTCCCTTATCACCACTGGCATCACTTTGGCCTTTACTTTCCACATCCTCCCTAGTTCCACCTTCAGGCTTTGGAACTTTTCCAGCTTCTCATATTCCTTCTGCCTGATGTTGCTGTCACTTGTACCACTACATTTATCACCACAACCATCTTCTGGTCTTCATCTACTATCATGATGTCTTGTTGATTGGCTAGTACCTGCCTGGCCATCAGCATATGGAAGTCTCACAGGATCTTAGCCCTCTTTTTCTCCACGACCTTCTTGTGTGATATCACATCTGAACTTGGGAGGTTCTATCTAGCTAGCCCATATATTGTGCAGATGTTCCTGTAGACAACGCCAGTTACTTGGTTGTGCCGTTCAATACATGCTACTCCTGCTTGCATCTCATGCCACTGTGCATTGGACTATCTCTGAGGCTTCTCTGCCGACTCTGCACCTTGGATCCCGCCTAGTGTGGTAGACCCCTACTTTTAGAGATCTGGTGCTGTGCTGTGAGATTTGGGGGGGGGGTGTTTAGTGTGTGTGTTGCCATAATAGAGTTTGTTTCTTTGAACGTTATAGGGGGGTGGGAAACAGAAAAAAGAAACAGTAAAACAGACCACTAGAAAACTAGATATGATAGCAAGTCATTCACAGAGAGTTAAAATGAAGGAGAAGCAGATAGAAGAAACGTCAGACACTAGAAGAGGGAGGGAGATGAAGAGACAATAAATAATAAAGTTAAAAAGAGAAAACCCACTCACCAGTTGTTTGAAAGTTTCCGCGATCTCTCCCGTGTCTTCCCCGTGCTCCACGCTCGACGCCATGTTCTGCTTCAACTTTAACCTCAGAGAGAGCGCGAAGCATCTTGGGACTGGGAGTCCAAGTGCTTACATTTGTCCCTCCCACTCCAGTACAGAGAACACACCATTATCTCAAAACCTCCAGGTTCGGAAAGATGGATGTATTCGGTTTACGGGTAAAAACGTTGAACCACTTCAACATAACCGTTGAAAGACTTATTGGATTGCCTCCAGCGCAGAAGTAAAACTTTCGATGGACTTAAACAACATTCTTCCCAAAGATGGGCGGGTGTCCCACTTTACGGCAAGCCTAGAATTCCTACGTTCAGCAAATCTTGAATTTCCCCATAGATTTATATGGGATGTCACAATCGGGTTCCCTGCAGATTATGTCTATTACCTATGGAGATGCAAAAATCTGGAAAACGGCAGCAAGCAGCAAAGGGATACAGAAAACTCCACTACAGTTTTCTGCCACTGTTGATCATCCGGATTTTTGGAACTCAGAAATGAGTATCTAGACTAGTCTTTTAAATGGAAATCGGAGTTCTCGATATAGAAAAAGAGGCACCTAATTCTTATAATCTCTTTTCCCGTTGCCCAAAGCTCCTGTGGGAAGGTCTGGAGTGTTACAATACAGAATACCACTGATCCCAAAGACCGCTGCCAAGAGATCGTGGGGAAGACAGAGTTAAGTACAGTAAATGAAAAAAGAAATGCTTCCTAAACCCAGAGAAGCAAACTCTTAAATAAAGCCCTTTTATTAAGTCCGATCAACTGAAGTGAAACAAAACTGTTAGCTAACTTCTGACTCAAAAACTTTGATGACTTTTAAAAATTACATACATGTAAAGGAAGCTGCTGCAGTGTTTAAATTATTTTGCATTTTCCAGAACAAATGTAGAAAATTATGAAATGGTATTGTATAAACATTTATTTCCCCAAAATGAACAACTGTTTTGAGATTTTAGAAAGTTTTTCTAAGCCCAGATATGCATTCTGCTAGTTTAAGATAAAAACTGCTAAGGGAATAAATTGTAAATACATTTATTCTGAACTATCAAATCTATGTGGATTTATTGGGACTTATCCCAATACTTAGGAGCAATAAAGTTTTTATCCCAAGTCAAAAGAGAAGGATAGTTCTGGCTGCTATGCATAAGGAAAAAATGTAGGATCCTTGGTGCTCTCAGTTTGGTTATTTTCATTACCCAAATAGGTAATAACTGTGCTGGAAGGGAGTGAGATTTGCTCTGTTTATTCAAATGGTTCACCTTGTCAGTATTTGTGGAAGCCTTTTTAGTAGTTCCTTGATTAATCTGTTGTTTACTGTTTGTCTGAATTGGTAGTTCTTTGACTGGAGTATAAAGTAGAAATGTTACATATAAATGATCCAGTCAGCTTTTATGCTTATCAGAGAATTAAAATTCATGGTCTCCCCGTTTCTAGTCCAGTACCTTTGCCACTACACCAGAATAGCTCCCATTTTATTAATTTGTTTCTTGCCTTTATAATATTTATAAATAACTCAAGGTAGTGAACATACCTAATACTTCTTTGTCCTCCTTTTTTGGCCACAATAGCAATCCTATGAGGTGAGTTGGGCTGAGAGAGTGACTGACCTAAGGACACCGAGCCAGCTTTCATGCAAGCTTTAGTAAAAGGCTATAAAAACAGTTATTTGATCAAAGCACTTTTATTCTAATATAAGGTATATTTATTGTACATATTTACAATGCACATGTAATTTGCCAAGGATTTATAAAACTGATATACCTAGTGATTATAAGTTGTCATAGATTCGAATGTGATTTTTACAAATGTTTCTCGTTTTAACTGCCTTATTTACATGCCTCCTTTACTTTAATTCTCTGAAAAAAACACATCTGAGATTTTAGTCTCTTATTTTTGTTCCTTATTATCTAAGTAGAGATTGTGTGGCACTTTTTAGGGCCTATCCTACAAACAGAAATTAGCAGCATTACTTATACACTGTGTTTTATTCATTTAGTTTTATTCAATACTTTCATGTATTATATATACAACAGTTCTCTCTACTCCCAAATTCAGATCTCTCATGTGACCAGGAAATATGCTGTGCAGGGAGTTCACGTAGGCTAAAACATATCAGGAAGTGTATCCATAGCATGAATACTTTCCCAATTAATGGGGGGGGGGGAGGGGAGAATCCATCCTAGCTATGTGCGTGACCACTAAAGAACTATGACGTACCTGCATCATCAGTTGCTGGTATCTCACAGTGCCATATCCTCTTCTTGTATAAGAGCAGGAAATGTGTTTAGAAATCCAAACAAACTTATAGTGTGTAACTTTCTTAAAGTCCAAGCAACACAGTTGCTGTACAGTTACAAATAATATTGTCACCAATTATTAGTTATAAATATGAAATATTTATTTTTGCCATGTTTCTGCAACACTTGCCAGATAACAATATTTTCAAACAAAAAACAAAATTTGAAGTGGTAACATATACAGTGACCAAACATCCACCAATCGTTCATGGATTATCATTATTCAAAAAGGAGACCCATATACAGCCTTATCTGTAGGGTTTTTTTTTCTCTTATTCTCCATTTTTCTTAATTAATCTTTCTACTTACATAATCTTTCTGATTTCTCTGTTCATTCTTGGTCAGTTTCTTTTTTCACATACAATATTTCAAAAATCCACAACATCCACCTTTCCTTTGAGTTTTTCTTCCTTGTGCTGGATTAGTCTCCAAGAAATTTGCATTAGTTAGACCTGTTTTAGGCATTTCTACTTGGCAGTGTAAACTGCTTGTCATATTATCTGCCCTTTGTATAACTTTGGAATCGCTTATGTATGCCAGCAATCCATAGGAACATGTGATACTAGTGTTTAAATGTCCAATACAATGCAGCGTGGCATCAGAAATATACTGTATCTTTGTTAGCTTTCTAGATCAGTGATACATGTTTCCCTTCTTGGGCTTTTTGTTCATATTTGCTTGTTCAGTAGCATTCTTTCTTCTTTAGGTTTTTGAAAATACAAAGCACAGAAGGGAGATAAATGCATTCATTTGGTCATTCTTATCTTTTATTAAAGGTGAAAGTTTATAGTGAAACTAGTGCCACCATTGGCTGCATTCCATCACAATCATCTCCCTCCCTCAAAGTATATGCCACTAACATAACATGTGTGGCTGCTGAAAATTAAATGAGCTGACCAATGCAGCATTTTGTTTAAAAATGTGAAAAAAGCTGCTTGGTTAATAGTCATCTGGAAATCCTAGGGCTATGAGATCTGGACTTCAAGAATCTAGACAGCAGCAAAGTGCAGAAAGCTAATGCTTTCTGCTTTTATCTAGTAGCCATGCTGATTTTTGCAACTCAGATCCATGAGCTCACAGGTCAGTGTTTCTAATCTGAATTTCAGCTACAGTACTATATTAGTATCAGAAGCATCTGCTTAGTATGTGGCAAAGTATTACCTGCATAAATTTCAGATAGACCATTGTTTGGGATCTCACTTGGTTAATTATTATTTGAATAAATCATAATATGAAGCATTTGGACAAAAGGTCACGCTTGGTTTTAACTTTATAATAAGTGTTCTCAGAACAAGATGTGTAGAAGAGCAGAAGGGAGCTTAGATTAAAAAAACTAGGATCATATTATGATCATGGAACTTTATTTACCCCACTGATAATTTCTGCTGAATTTGTATATTTGAAGATGAAGAAAATAACGCCAGTTATCATAATTATTTTTCCAAATATCCTGAATTCATTAAGATGTTTAGGGAGTTGCTATTTCTGAAGTAGAATTTTAAGAATTGGGGAGAAATAATATAAATAACAAATAACAAAATTATTTCATATTTATTCTGATTTTTATACTGCATTGGGATTCTGTAGGTTTCTTGATTTTATAAATGACTGAAATAACTCAGAGATCATAATGGACGCATTTTGCTTTCCCACAGTCAGGCAAAGAATATGTCAGATTTGCAATAATGTCTCCACAAAATATACCTTACACACTCACATATTTTGGTTCTCATGCATTTAAATTCCTTCATTGCCATCACTTATGGAACTTGAGATCTCCCAAGATACTCCTTACTAATACAGAAAGAAATGGGAAACATCATATCATCTCTGGTTTGACAGCTTGATGGCTTAGTTCTCACTACCAATAAGCCCAAGCTGTGTCTTTGGGCACATATGACTGAATGCTCCCCCATATGAAAATGTGGATTAGAATTAAGCTTACATGTATACCTCAAAACATTTTCTCATTCTTCTGACAGACACATATGGTCATTTTTGCCTTTTTTTTCCTCATCCTTTCTCTTTTAGGGAGTCTGCTTCCAAATTTATCACATCACAGGCAATAATTTCCAGTTGCACATGACAAAATTTACAGAACTGACATCCATTTGCAGGGATATGGGGGGAGGGGTTGTATTACTACCACATTTGGGCTGCAAATCTTCAGATGACCCTATCTGGTGTCCAGATCTGGGAGCTCTATTAGTATGAAATTATTTGCATAAGTATATATAGATGTGTGAAGAAGTTCTCTAACATGCACAAATCAGTCCCAAGTAATTCTTAGTTTTTCCATGTAGACAGCTGAATCTTACAGATTCCTTCATGTTAAATGAATTTCAAACAATAAAATCATGGAAGGTGTTCATTACAGTATCCAATTACAAAGCAGCAACTCAACTCTTCTGTTATCTTTTGATCCCAGCATGCCTTTTCCTTTGTGAAAGAAATGTGTGTGTGGGGGGGGGGGGAAATGCTTGGCTCATTGGCTTTACCATTGTGAAAAAGTCTTTGAGGAAAGTTTTCCACCATCTTTGGTTCAGTGTTTTTTTTCTTCCTAGCCTTCTATTCAACAATATTTTCAAGCTACAAAACTGATCATTAATCAATTAAGTGAATTGGAGCATCTAATTTTTACAGTGAAGTTAATGAATACAAAACAGTTTTCATCAAAAGATTCAATCTGCAAAGGCTTTTCTTAAAAAATTATTTTTTCACATTCTAGTAAAATGTTTCTGAATATAAATGCATATGGAGATGATCTCTTAAAAATAATGCTTCAAATGAAATTTTAACAGAATTTTGAAAAAAAAAACTTGGTTTGCAACCTAATTTTTATCTAGCTTCTTTATTATATCTATTGGCAAAGAGAATGACTTCAAGCAATTTAAAGATGTTGCCTCCGACACAGTGAAGATATTTTATCTTGTGTTGACAATGTTCTTATTCTTTTAAACAAAGAGTTCATTAATATTGGCCCATATAAATAAATATAAAACTACATGATATTCTGGCATATGTGTGAAAAGAGTATATGAAAGATAGCTATGAGAAATGAGACAAAGATTGTAAAGTCTAGAAATGAAAGTAAAGAAATAATTCAGTTCTAACCCTACTTGTAGGGCAAATTTCCATCTGCTATGAGAACATCATAAGGAACAGTTCAAAAATATTTAGGCTTCATTTATCTATCTGATTCTCACAGTTCAACAGGTTTTAGACTTGCCAAATATTTTTGTCTATGCTGGCATATTCCATCATGACCCCTTGAGCATTCAAATACAATTACTGGCAGAACTTTGAAAATTATTCCTGCCTATTTTTTCCTACTATTGTTAAACATTAATTGAAATTTCATGTGTTAAGGCAACTTCAGCTTACAGTGCTATCATTTCAGTCAGACATTTGGAAAACTTTTCCTACCTAGAAAACCCAAATATGGTGCTTTGTGACAAACAACTTCCCTTGAAATGTGCTGAAAGTATAGACTACAACTGATACAACCATGAATTCCGCATGTTACGTTGATTAGCAAAAAACAAAACAAAATAGAAGGGTGCAGATAATTGCAAATCATAGGAAATGTGTAGAAGAATTCCAGGATACATAAATTCCTAATTTTAAATTACAGTACCAGTATTAAGCAGTTTTATGCCCAGGTTTCATGTCAACATACTGATCCTTTTATCCTCCAGGAACATGCTTTCCTACTTTCTAAAAGCTTGCAGATTTCATCCATATGTCTTTCACAGACTTCTATGTTTTCGGCCAGTTTCTGGATTTTTGCCTTAAGTAGGATATGGCTCACTTTTGTCACCTCTTCTGTGTGCTCAGGCACCAGAAAGCCCCGAGGACCGCAGAACACCAGGAAGCAGGCAGAATTATAAAGAGCAATAGACACATTTTTTTCAGTCTGCAATAAGAAAGGGTCGGTGGGATTCCAACTGCGGTGCAGGAACTCCAAGCAATTCATTGTTTCCTTCATTTGATTGTGACAAGCCACTGCAATCTTTTTTACTCTTTTCACCTCCTTGGAGTTATAGAGCACTAAAGAAAGGTCTGAAGTCATGGAAACAGCCCCCCCTGCAGCCGCCACTCCTAAACCCACCCCAGAAGCCAAGAGGGAGGCTCCTAGAGTTGCAGGGCTCAAAGACAGCCCCACTATGGTCATAATTGCTCCTGCTGCACTTAAAGAATTTCCCGTTAGATGCGCAATGAGAGAACATCTGTTCAGCTTATTGAGTCTCTGTAATATCTTTTGGAGTTTCTTGATGTGGTTGCATAGCCGGCTTTGCTGGTCAAGCAGTGTGTTGTAGAAGCGACATGTAGGATCGAAACTGAAGGGGAAAATACCATACTCCATAATCTTCATGGAAGAGAAGGGAGAATAAAAGAAGGTCACTAAGAAAGACAATCTCATATTTTAACCAAGAGACATACAGATATATCTGGAATCCTAAACAAAGTTTGCCCTCCTCAGGAATTCTGAGAGTTCCCTTTGCTAATATATCTAGAGGGCAGCAATTTGGCAATTTGCTTTTAACCCATTCTATAAAACTATATCCCTTTCTTCTATTTTAATGTGAGATTTAAGCCCTTGCCCCTGATTGCTCCAAGACACTTTATTCTTTTTGGTATCACTCTCTAAAATAATTCCTAAAATCTTGACAAGCAAACATTTTCATGGACTCTTTTGTAGCATCCTTTGAGAGCTATGAAATGACTGCATTCCCTTGTAAATCACCAGAAAGAAGCATATAACCCTAAGTGAAAACAAACATGATCTATTTTAGACTTCAGCTTTCTCATGTACATACTGTATAACTTTTCCCCACTATTGAAATACTTCATCCATCTTACTTACTTTGATAATTCCTGTATAATTTGATAATTTGATAGCCCCAGTAACAATCTGTTATGCTATCTTTATTTACCTGACTTTTAGTCTCTACCACTCACCTTACATCTCAACGATAATGGATGATGAAGATTAACCATTTATGATAACTTTGATGTTGCCCTTGGACAATAGTGAAATAAAGGAGTGGGGAGTATATTTTAACACTGGCATAGCTAAGATTGACTGTCTCATTCCTAGGCTAGGAACTAAATGAAAGTGATGTTATGGGGATCCAGCACAAGTGCAAAGAAAGAAATGTGAATAGATAAGGGTCTTAATGTGATATTGAATTACATTCCAAAAATATAGAATTGATCATTTCATGAAAAGCTTTAGTTTTTTCAGCCTAGGGACACAGCAAAATGATAAATTTAGGTGATTGGAAAGAAGTCTACTCTCCTGATTTTAAGAAATGGATTCAGGGTACAAGTTTGATTTTGAAAAGTTTATGTTTAAAACTGAGAAGGTGGTATAGCATGTCTCCAGGTCAGTTAGATTTAATGATAAGCCTAAGGACTGAATTAATTTTTACCATAATCTGGTGTGTGTGTGTGTGTGTGTGTATTTTGTCACATTCACTGTATAATCACTATCTTTTTAAAACTAGGATTATAGTTTTCTATATTTCACCAGTAAAACATAACCATTTTTTATATTAAAAATAAACTTCTTCCCCTTCCCTTCCAAGTCCAAGAGAGTAAACTGCAGCCCAAGACATCATTATATTGCAGAAGATTTGCTGGATACCTTTGAATGATAATTTAAAATAAAGTAGAATAATAATGAGAGCCAATTTATTAGTGGTTAAGGTACAAGGCTAAAACTGGGGAACTGTGGATTCTAGTCCTGTCTTGGGCATAAAGCTAGCAGGGTGATCTTGGGCCATTCACTTTTCTCAACACTGGGAAGAAAGAAAAAATCTGACCAAATAAACTGCAAGGATTAGTTCAAGCAGTCACCGGGAGTCAACACTGAGCAGAAAGCACAAAAGAAGAATCGCTGACTTAAATTATGTGAAGTGGGTTAGTTAGCATTCTTTTTAGGTAAAGGAAATTATTTCATAGAAAAGCAAAGATAAAAGTATCTTCAATGAAATGTTCAAAAAGTTTTCAAAGATTGAACAAGTAATAATTCCACCTACCATTGTTTTCTCTCAGACTGGTATTCTCATGAATGATTCTCAAGCTGTTTTGGGACCAGCTTTATATATACTTTCCACAACCCCCCTTTGCTCCAGTGGGATTGCTTTGCATCAGACCAGAAATCTGTCATTTCCTGGCACCCCTACACACCATCCTTCCCCTGGAGATTTCAGAAGGATATGACACTGAACACTGGCTATAGAGACAAGTGCCGCTCCTATTAGATTCAGGAAACCATCTTTAAACTGTGTGTTCGCTTTTTCTAAAATACATCTACACACATTCACAAACATACACACTACTGTTCCTGACTCTAATCAAATGTGGTCATTTCCCAAGGGTAAGACTCTACCCTTCCTCTTCTTGAAATAACTGGTGACATCATTCTTTCATTTTATGGGACTCTGTGCCTTCCAGGCAGGTGACTGAGTTGGCAGAATCTTTTCAGAAAATACAGAATGATCTCATCCAATCTTCCAGATTAGTTGAATTCTGTTTCTTTTGTAAAGGAAAAATGTGCAATGGGAATACTACTTTTGATTTCCTGGGATACACCAGGTCCAGTTATCTAGCTTTCAAAAATGCATATAGGCACCTATTGTATCCACTCTTGAAAGTTTCAAAAAGCCTTAGACAACTTTCCTCATTAAAGGGGCAGACTTAGTGGTAATGAGATAAGATAATTCATTCACTTATCATTAACTATCCTGGAGACTGCTTGGACATGTCTGTAATTTTCTTGGTGAAATTTTTCAGAAGTGATTTGCCATTGCCTCCTTCCTAGGGCTGAGAGAAAGTGATCTAAAAAGATCACCCAGTTGGCTTTGTGCCCAAAATGAGATTAGAATTCATGGGATCCTAGTTTCTAACCTGAAGCCTTAAGCACTACACCAAACTAGCTCTAACTAAAACACAGAAAAGAAAACAGCAAGAATGAATGAACAACTTTTAGTGGAGGGAAGTAAGAAATAGATTTGCGCTGGGACCAGTGCTTGTTAATGCTTAGAATGGATCTTGGCTTAAGGAAAGGCAATGAGCTGTTTATGTTTGTGGATGATATCCAACTTTTCAGTGTTCTGAAAACCAAAATGATATAATGGTAATGTGGGAATGACCTTGGGAGACAGAAGGAAGAGCTGCAGATTGGACAATCATCATGTACAGATAGTCTTGCTTAGCAATTGTTTGAAGTTAGGATAGACACCTCCCCAAAAAAGTTTCTGATGGCCTATTCCCCCACCCCCTGACCCCCCCAACCATGGTCCTGTGACTGCATTTCAGACGCTCAGCAATTGGATCACATTTAGGGCCATTTGCAGCGTCCCACAGTCACAGGGCCAGTTTACCTCATTTCTGCTGAAAAGTTCTTTTTCCTTAAACTGCAACACTAGACATGTCTTTTTATATTTTAGTTGACCATATCAAATGAGAAAAAAAAAAGCTTTTTCAAACTTGTTATTCATAGGACAATTTTATTTATTACATTTTCATGGGTTAATTCAAGGAATTTAAACAGTTACAAAGAATAGTTACAAACTAAGAACAAAATGCTCACTAGTTATGTTTCAACATTTTAGATTTCATATCAATATTGCTATTCGCTTGCTGTCCAATACAGTAGGACAGTATTGATTAGCTCTTAGGCAATACCATCACATTACCTATAATTTTATATGACAATATGTTCCAATCAAAAATGTTTCCTCTGGGGAACTCATGGGCCTGGGAAACTTTCTGTATGTCATGTGATTTCAGTATATAATCCCACATGTATAGATCTGTTATTTCTCCCACAAAATATGGTTTTTGCTGATCAGACATATTTTGTGCACCTTGATCCCGTCCAAGCATTGCTGTGCCACCTGCTTGCAGAATGTGTCCCTTATTATGCACCTTTCTGATACTACTTTTTCCATTTATCCAAAAGGCTGTAAGGCCACATACTGACTCCCAGGTGACACAGATGTGGCTCCCCAAAGTGCTAAGATCAGGAAGGGCAAACCTCACACTCCTACCCCCCATGTGTAAACCAAAATAGCCCATTGCTTCACGCAAGATTCTCAATTCATCACTTTGAGAATGGTAGGAGAAGATAATTATTTTATGTTCATCCAAATACTCAACTGCAATCCTCATACAGAGTGTGAATTCCCTCAAATTCAGAGACTGCATTGGGGATATGATCACAAAACTGCCTTTTGCTTCATTGGGAAAACTCAGAACTCTGCCTTGTAGACCTAGAAGAGAGAACATCATCATGACCGTTCAAGAAGCACGCTAAATCAGTGTTTTTACTTATGAGTTATCATAGAGCTATAACATACATAAACAGTAATTAGCATTAGTTATGAAAACCATTACATATTATAGAAGTATGATTATCAACAATAGACTGATGATACCAGTCTATACTCTGAGGTAGACAGGAGATGCTGTCAATATCAAGACCCAATGTTTGTAGACTGTGAGGGTATGGATGGGATATAAAAAACTTTAATTCTACCAAATCAAGATAGAGCTACTATTCGTTCACTAAAGTTCTTCAATGACTAAAGTGTTCTTCTTCATGGAATGGTACTATCTTGAAGGAAGAAGGGTCTTCCTGGAGTAACAGCTATTGCTAGATGTGCAAGTGAAAATCATGGCCAAGGAGGTCTTGCCTAACTTCAGTTTGTATACAAATTGTAGCCATACCTGGAGTGACAGGATGTTGTGGCAGTGACTCACATCCTTATCATCTCTCATTTGGATTATTGCATGCAATACATGAGATTGCCTTTTAAACCTGCTTAGAAGCATGGTCTCAGTTGGTCCAGAATACATCAGCCAGTTGCTGAAGGACATTCACTAACATGACCACACTACATCTGTGCTCTACATTGGTTTCTGGTACCTCCAATGTAATGACAGTGCTGGGTTTTTTTTTAGCTTGAAAGACATATGTGATATCCTCTTCACCTTGAAAGACCAACTTTGATGTCCAAGTGCTTACAGGACCATCTTTTCTATCCAATTTTGGCCCACTTGAACATATTCAACTTGAACATCTCAGAACCACCTTGTTATTCCACACATTTTTTAAATGATAGAGGTTGGGAAGAATTCATAGAGGCACTTTCATTAGGAGTATGCTTACACTTTGGGGTAGCTTCCCCTCAGAAATTCAATCCCTGCTTACTCTGCAGGCTTTCTTTAAATTGATAAAAACAAAGTTACTTTGGAGGTAGTATAAGTAACAGTGGGGTATGATTTGATTGTATTTAGCCTTTTGCTACGGATGTTGTATTGCATTTTTGCTAAGAGTATTTTCTGATTCAGGTGAAATATAAATCAAAAAACAGCAGCAGTAGTAGTAGTAACATATTGCCACCTTTTTGATCTGACACTTGTTTTGCATCTTTCCAGCCAAGCAAATCAGGGATGTTCAGTTACTACCCTTACCCTATGACTGCTGTATTCACCCACATGCCCTAGTGACCTATCAGAGATCCTCTGATAGGCTAATTGTGAATACATCTGGGCAAAGGTAGGATGACTATGCACAAACCTGAGTCAGTGTCACTGTCTCGAACAGGACTCCTTCCTCCACCATGAACTGTAAGAAATGAAATGTCTGAATGTCTACTATTCACCATAAGATTTGACAGTATCACTACTCTGACCTATTGGAAATGAAAGAGGGTCTCTCTCCTTTTCTCTCTCTCTCTCCCTCCCTCCCTTAAATGCAGATTTAAAATAATAAATGTAGGCAATTTGTCTCCTAAAACTCCCCTATTCTGATCATACTGTGCTGGAAATTTTTATAGCGCAACTTCAGGATAACTAAGGGTTATACCTTCAGACCAGTAAACCCCCACTGTTGCAATACAGCCCCTACTACCTGAATATTTATTAACTGTATAACTTTTACCTCATTTTCCATGAAGTGAAAGTTGTTGTGAAACACTAGATTATCTTTCTATTTGTCTGATTATTTTGCTATTGTGATTACCCCATAAATACAAGAATGCACTTCCCTTATCTCAACAAAACAAGCAACCGTCAATACTGTCAGTTAAAGGTATATGCATCTTAGTCTATATTTGTCTTACATGAGATGTCTGATGTAAAAGCAAACATCCCCGTTGTGTTGAAATACAGTACAATACAGTAAACACAGAACATTATATAAGCCATACATCCTCTATTCATAACTGTATTCACACAGTTTCTACTTACCTATATGAAGCCATGGATGTGCAAGCACCTGCACTTCGCAGACTGTTAGGTATTCATATCTCCCAGGGATTGTGATGGTCACATATTGTCCTTGCATGCCTGCACAGTTAAATGACATTGTTTCCCCACGTCCCATGCTGTTGATTGTAGCACACCTGCCAAGGGGACAGATTGTTATTGAACTGCAGACTGGCACAGCATGAATCTGAGTCCCTGAGTTTTATGTGTGAGCCCTATCAACATTCATGCTAAGAGAAGCCATGATTTCCACAAGATTCTCAGAACAGATGGGGAACTATATCTGCCATAATTACACATCTGCTAGTAATCTCTGTTCTCTCAATAATGATCCTTGTAAAATTATACTGTGCAATTTCTTTTGCTTCTAGAGTAAGTAGAATAAACTATTATGATGGTACATATTGGCAATCTTGTCACTGACTTGTAAATTAGTTATGTTTTATTGCAGATGCACTAATTCACAAGTTGAAATTTTATTTATTTATTAAATGTATTGGCTATCCATCTTATCACAGGGTAAAATGATAAGATACATTTAGATACATTGGTGCACTGACCAAACATTGATTAGAACCTATTTAATATGTAACTCAGCTTCAAAATATTTAACCTTTCCAAAAACAATTGCAGTTTATTAATGTCAAAATGCAACATCTAACCAAAGGGTTAGTGAGTTTAGGAAAAGCTTCAAGTTTTCCAGAAATAAAAACAACATGAAGTAAGAAAAAGGGCTTGGGTCCAAAAAAACAGTAAAAATTGAATCTCTTCAATTGCTATAGAATGCTAACTGGAAAAAAAGATAAAAATAATTAGTAATGAAATGCAATATTTTGAAAATGACCTAGCACAAACTATAGCTACAGATGTGGCTATAGATGTCTGGATGACTGCTAAATACCTGAAAAGTTCTATGTCTGGATTACACAGTGGTGTCAAGAGCAGGCAGTGGATGTAGCTGCATTTCAAGCATTGGAAGGGAAGTTTAATGGGGATTTCCAGGGAAGGTATGGCAAGCTGAAAATGGCCAGCTGTAGCAAAGACCAAGAAACTGGTTAATAAAATGGTTCCCTGGAACCTTCCCACATAAGCAGAGGATGGGAAATTGAGATAAGTGAGGATACCTGCTCCTCATAAGGAGATCAAAGGAGAGCTGTTTTCCACAGCTGCCATATGATGATGAGATTAACTATCTTGCTTGCAGCTGTTGTAAACACTTTTAAACACTTGAAAACACTTTTAAGTTCACAAACTTCACTTTCTAATCACTTTCAGAAATTTCTCATTAACTACTAAGCTATTAAAGCTCCATGTGTTGACAAATCTGAAAATGCTGGATGAGTATGCCTTCAATCCCAAATGAAAGAAAAATGTAATGTTAAGCTTAAGTATTTAAAGAATGTAAAATAAGCAGCAAAAGGCTAAGTAAGGTTTTGATTTTAGAAAGGGGCTAAGGGAGCAGATAAAATTGAAATATTGTAACTTTTATAATAAGATTTTTAATTAATTATAAAGAATAAACAGCTGCTCACTGGAAATATTCTTTTTATGCTTTTACAAGACAAAACAAGCAATTTCATGAATTCAAAAATTGGACACTAGATGGGGCTGAAGGTTAGAGGAACAATTTATAACCTGAAAAATGTTGAAAACATTCTAAGAATGAATATATTGAAGAAGATTTTTGAAGACTGGAATTAGAAATAGCCACAATCTCAACAATGTCTATAATGATGTCTGCTTCTATGGATAGACTATGTCCAAAAGATGTTATAATTGAAATGACAGATGTAGAACAAATTTTAGATGACAAAATATAGTATCAAAGGTGGACTTACAATTGACAGACCAAGAAAATTACTTAAAAGAAATATTTTGGGCGCTCAACAACTAGGACACATTTACGGCCATTTGCAGTGTCATGTGACTGCATGTATGACAGTTCAGCCAAAAACTGGCATTTACCAGTTTTCAGCAAAACCAGTACACTGATTCATTTAATGACTACCACAAAAAAGTTGTAAAATTGATTTACGATCATGTGGGTGACCCAGTTTAGAACTGTCGCGATTTATGACCATGATGGGTAGGCTCTATTACAGTTGTAAGTCAAGGACTCTGTTCAAAAGACCACAGAGAAAACCTGAAATTCAATGTTTTGCAACTATATTGTGCATATCATACTACAAGGTTGTACAGTGCTGTAACATTCATTTTTACCCAATATAGGAAGTGGATTAGAATTTGTTTCAAAGTCTCACAGAAACATGTTTACTTTGAAAGGGGCAGAATGTGGTCTCATGGGATACAATGTACAACCCTTCATCAGTCTAGCTAGCCACTCTATGCATCTTATGAAGTGAGCTGCAGATCACAAAAGTGTATGTCCTTTAAAAAAATCTGACTTTTTTGCCACCATAGACTAACATGTCTCTCCTCCTAAAATTGCAACTTATCCAGACTGTTGTAATGCCACACTCAGCAACACTCCAGTTCATAGAACAGGAAATCTAATTTTTTTCTAAATTATTGTGAGTTATAGGTCTTTAAAAAGCTTCCCTTGGGTTTATCCACACAAACGCTTGGATTTAAGATTAAGTAAGACCAGGGGTGGGCTTCAAAAATTTTAGCAACAGATTCTCTCCCGGTTGCTGGGTGGGCGTGGCCATGTTGGGGCAAGCCTCCGGGAGGACAAAAACGGCCTCCCCAGGCTCCAGAGTCCCTCTGGAAGCTAGAAATGGGCTCAGTTCCAGCCTGCCCAAACTTCCGGGAGGCCCATTTTTCGCCCTCCCCAAGCCTCTGTACGTGCCCTGCACTTACCTGCAGCCAAAACAGGCCGTGTTGGGACTCCTGGAAGGGGAGAGGAGGGGTGGGCGGGGCCAACCAGGAATAGGATTTGGAGGTTCTCCAAACTGCACAGAATCTTAGCTAGGGGCTCTTCTGAACCACTCCAAACCCCCAGCACCCCACCCCTGATGAGACATATTTCTCATTAACACACTTAAGAGGACAATATAGTATCATACCAGTACCTGGGATTCATTGTGCCTCCCTTCTGTGGCAAATCTCCGATCAGAATCTCAGCTCCTTTTATCCGTGACTCACAACAATCTCCTCTGTTTGTGATCACTACTGCAGATACCTGAAAGTCTGAAATCAAATCTACCATCCACCAGGGCTCAAAATCCTTCTTTGTCAGAGTACAGTCTCCATTGGTGTAGATATTTGCAAGGGATCCATCAATGGCCTTCCTTGACTCCCCCTTTTCTTCAAATGTACTCGACTGGGATGATAGTTTTCCCACTGCTACATTAGGATCTGGCATGGAAACGGAGACAGTGGTACATTAATTGAATGCAAAAGCAAACAAGAGGGCATCTAATCATATGAGACACACATTTGAGATATCAGAAAATAATCTCTTAGCATCATCTAAATGACTACAGTGTTTCCTTGAAAATAAGACAGCTTTGTAATGCAGATCTTGGCTTCAGATAGTTGGTTGTAGCTCAGCTTTTCTCTCTAATCCCTACTTTGTGTCTTGTAATCGAATATAAATCTTTACTTTCTTGGATGTTCCAGGATTAAGTTTGTAATCCAGTTCCACATTTTGCCATACCTCCTTGGATTTGGTGTCTTTGTTTAAAAAAAGAAAAGAAAACTGGACCCTAAAGAGGGGGGGAGGGCTGATTGCTAGTGAAGGGAGATTTTCTCTTGCACTCTATCCGGATTCTAGGTGATGGAGAAGACTTCCTCATTCAATAATGTTTTAGCAGCATAGCTCCAACCTTTTTTTTTTACCTGGACAGCCTGGAACTCAGATAATAGAAATGTGAGAGTAGAAATCCCAGGAAGGACTGGCAAATTGTGTGGGTAAGGACACCTTCCTTCCGTCTCTATGGATTTTTCAGAGATGCCCTTCTGAAGAATTCTGACTGCTGTAGTCCCCAAACATCCAAAGGCTACTTAGCCCTCCAATCTGAAGCTATTCACCTTGAACTGCATGAAAATGTTCTTTGCTGAGCCTTACTAGTCATGGTTACTCAATCAATTTCTTCTAAAGCCATAATTGGTTGAATTCACACATTGCCGTATAAGCTATCAATCATGATTTGCCATCAAATATAATAAATATAAATGTAATAATAAATATATATAATAAATATAATATATATATTTCCAAAATTAAGCGAAGGGCAACCTGTTGCCCATTCGGTTGTTTTTAAGTGTTTTTAAGTGTTGTTTTAAGTGTTGGATATGTTCACCGCCTTGAGTTATTTGTAAAAATAATAAAAGCAGGAAATAAACAGACCAATCAATTTTCCTTAATTTTTTTAGATTAATCAAAGTCAGACAGATGGTTTCTAATCAAGAATGGAGAGAGATTTATATTATATATCCATAATTTTGTCTACATTGCTGCAATAACAATATATAATACCTTAGACAAATAGGATAGGGAAGCATTTAACTATAAATAAATATAACATGCATTGCCAAGAGTTTACCTCCAACTGGGATTATCGAAGCTTCTACCATAGCCCCACTGCCTGCACCATCTGTAAAATAAAAAAAAGTTCTCTTACTAATCCGAAAAGCAGATGGCAGTTAGTAGAGAGAGAAACATAGCAAGAAAAGGTAGGCAGAAATCTTTTTTTTAAGCCTATAGCATAGCTGCAAAACCAGCAGAGCCAAATACGGCCAGCTACTACTCAAAAATATATACATTCAAATCCAGAACAGAGATATTTAACTGATTTCCAATATCTTAACTATGTGCCATATTAACCAATTAACAATACCTTGAGTATGTGCCACATGCAAAGTCCAATACCTTAACTATGTGCCACGTGAACCAATATATTTCTTTTTCCAGCCTCCTAGGCCTCTATATAAATTTTACCAGATTCAATCAATTTTAGTCCCAGTTACTGTGCCTCAGGTAGCACAGCCTTATATGTGACATTAAATCCAATAGGAGCCATATAAATTTTGCTGAATTTCATGTACCAAAATTAGAATTAAAACCTAAATCATCCAGCCAAGTAAGCAATTGGTACTCTGTTACTTACATTTATATGTAATAAGCCAATTGAGAGTTACAGTAACCAGGACTGCAACTTTGGGTGGCATATTTTCTTTTACCAGCTTTTTCAAATACTGTACAGACGTCTTTTGCAGTGTTCAGGAGATTTTCTCTTCTTTATCCATTAATTTCAGTGACAATCTTTTTTTCCTTAGGCGGTTCTCCAATCCTTGAAAGCCAAGACACCCACGCAGCACCTGCTCTCTGGGAAAATTCTAAGTGGTGAGAAAGATCTTGAATAGTGCATTTTATCCAGTAAGATAAAGATTTAATGGGTTCACAGTGTAACTGACTGAACAGGAATAGCCAGAACACAGTGACAACTGTCCGAATTCCAGAGAGAAAATATTAGTTAGTATTTAACATATATATATACATACATACATTCATACATACATACATACACATACATATATTTTCTTAAGTTTTCGCGGGTACTTACATGTATGGTATTCAGCTTTGTTCGGGTATTTTCCCACGTCATTGTAGTTGTGCTTTTAAAGTTGTAGCAACGTTTCGGCAGAATCTCATCTGCCATCATCAGGCTTCTGTATACAGACGTGGGAAAATACCCGAACAAAGCTGAATACCATGTGTGTGTGTGTGTGTGTGTGTGTGTGACCTGAAGAAATAAGAGCTCTGCTCTATATATACAGCAGAAACTTGGATAGTTTATCTTCTTCTATTTTTCTTAGCAATTCTCTTTTTTGATTGCCAGATCTCTTCTTCTAGGTTGTGCCTGCAAAGGTCATACAGCAAAGTTTCAGTACATGATGCCACAAGTTGTATTGTTTCCAGCTGGTTTATTCAGTGGTGGAATTCAATTTTTTTTACTACTGGTTCTGTAGGCGTGGCTTGGTGAGTGTGGCAGAGGAAGGATACTGTATAATCTCCAGTCAGAGGTGGTATTTGCTGGTTCTCCGAACTACTCAAAATTTCCGCTACCGGTTCTCCAGAACTGATCAGAAACTGCTGAATACCACCTCTGGGTTTATTGCAAAGACTGGCACTGAGAGGACTGAGAGCCAATACCAATTGCCCTCCGTGCCAGTAGTAGGATTCAAATTTTTTTACTACCGATTCTGTGGGTGTGGCTTGGTGGGCGTGGTGTGGCAGGGGAAGGATACTGTAAAATCTCCATTCCCACCCCACTTCAGGGGAAGGTTACTGCAAAGTCCCATTCCCTCCCCACCCCACTAACCTGCTTTCCAGCTCCAGTTTCCTATGCAGGGCAACCAAAGAAGACCCAGGCGATCAGCTGGGATTCAGGAGGCAGAGAATAGATGGGGGTGGGGGCGGACAGAAGTGGTATTTGCCGGTTCTCCAAACTACTGAAAATTTCCGCTACCAGTCAGAACCCTTCTGCTCCATACCTAAGACAGGACTAGAACCTGGATTTCCCCTCTCCAAGCATTTTAACCATTATATCATATGGCTCTTGGCTAGTTTATTTCCTAAAAGAGCAGGATGGTTTGGGAAGGCAAGATCAGAAAGTACAGATTATAATTTTCCTTTTGAAACAGTGTTTATTCCAAGGAATCACAGAAGATTTATTTTACAGAAATCATTTAAAAGTTTCAGGAATTGAATAACACTGAGTAACTTAGTTTTATCATTGTTCCACTGAAACATTATAGGCCTTCTACTGTTGAGTTGAAAGGTGATTCATTCACCTTCTACTGTTGAGTTTGCAGAAAACTATAAACAGCATATTTCTTGTCCCCTACTATTGCTAAAGGACATGTTTAAGCTGATATAATTAGGTGCAGGTGGAGAAAAGCCCTAGAATTCAGGGTCTCCCAAAATAGAAACCAGATTACCTAACAGCAAACATAAATGAGCTTCTGTCGTGGCAGTTGTCTGCAGGTACCAGATATAGATGCTTGAAACTCAGCTAATTTTGGTAGTTGAATCTGCAGTCAGTTCTACAAGTACAGATAGCAAAGGATGAACATTTAGAACAGCAGTGGGCAATAAATTTCCTCAAGGGGATACTTGAGAAACTGGGACTGTTGTGGAGGGCCACTGCTGATGCCACACACCCCACCTCACCCTCTAATGCCCTACTCCCTGCCAATGCCTCATTCCCTCCCACCACCACAGACTGGACAGGGATAGCCAAAGAGCCAGATGTAGCCTGTGGGCTGTAAAATGCCCAGGTCTGATTTAAAATCTGGAAAGGTTTTTATACACCACACAAGAGACTGAAAGAACAAAGAGAAAATTAATGTGGTTTAACACTATGACTCTGCATTTTGAAAGAAATTGACATGAACCAGTATGGTTCATTAAGGATTAAGTGCTGGCCTAGAAACAAGGAGAATATGAATTAGGCATGAAAGTTATTTTGGTCAGTCAATTTATATCAGCTCAATCGAGGGTTCTTGTTGTGGGGAAAGTAGGAGGCAGGAATATTCAGCATATTAATGTTCTGAAACACTTATAAGTTTTTGCAGATTTCTTGTTCTTTTTCTAATTATATACCAATGGCTTAGATATTAATAGAAGGATAGTGAAAAGGAGGAGTATCAATATTTTTGAACCTTGGTGTTAGAGAAAAAGTCTGAGATTATTCTAGACAGCCAAATAATAAAACAATGGACCATAAAACAAATAAACTCATTCAAGGCACAAATGAGCAGGCTCAAATTATCCTATTTTCATAACTTGGACATACATACTATGTGATGATCTAGCTCTCTGGAGAAGGTCAAATGCTGAGAAAGGTGGGGGGGGGAAAAGAAGAGGATAACCAGCAGCAAGGTACATCGAGTCAGTTATAGTATTCATGAGTGCAACATTAGAAGATCTGAAGGACCAGGTTAGGAATGGATCATCATGGAGAAAATCTATGTGGTCACTAGGATTCAAGAATGACTTCATGGTATGTAATCATATAATTAGTGAATACATTCATGCTCTTAAAGATTACAAAAAGCTAATGCTGCAAAGCTGGAAGAATACCCCTTCTCCATGAATTATTCAGTTGTCTGAAGAATTTACCTTCTGTCTAAATTTGAATAAGTATTCCCGCCACCCCAGAAAAAAGTATCTTAGAGAACTCTTTGGAAATTTGGAATGGATATGTTTAATTTCCCTTTTTGATTTCTCAGCTCGTAAGTGTGAATAATTAAATACAACTGAATAAAGTAACAATATTAACATAATTTAATAATTATCTTGATCTTGAAGCCCAGATGCAGAACTCAACTGTTCCTTTTGTTCTAGGATCAAAGGATGCAGAACACATTCAAGTAATAAATTGGGTATTAACTGTCTAAGATGAATTAAGTTATATGAGCACTAAATATTAAGTCACAAAATACAGTACTTATTTTTTTAAGGATCATTAGAAGAGGTTAATTGTTTGGACATAAACACTATTTTCATAGAATGTGGTAATTTCTAAGATCCTTCCATTTCTAAACTTGGATTACTCTATTAAATAATGGTCTTACCTAAAAAATAAATACCTCAATAAATACCCTCTGGTACAATTTTTACACCTGTAAGGCTTTAATGTTGTGGGCAGCACTCTCCTGGTATAACTGAAGAGGAGAAGCCTCTCTGAAGCCGTTATACCAATTATAGCCTAAACTTACTTCACAAAAGTGTTTTCAAAGTTATTTGGGAAAAGTTTGAGGCTGTTGGACCTGAATAAGTGGACAGGGTCCTTAGGAACCCATCCACATGGTCTTTGGATCCGTGCCCCTCCTGACCAGAGATTGTTGTGAGAATGGGTTTTGGTGGTAATCTTTTGACTGAAGGGATTTTTCCTTTACCTCTTAAAGAGGCCTTGGTTTACTTCCTTCTCAAGGTGCTTTTTTCCATGATCTGGATGACTTAGAATCTCCATAGACAAGAAAAAAAATCTCCATTCTCAAGAAGCCTAGACCGCACTATCCTAAGCAATTTTTATTTGGTATCTAATCTTCCTTTTGGATGGAAGGTGTAAAGAAGGTGAGTCCGGGTTATCTGAGAGATTACTTCTTCCCAATTATCAGTCTAACTAACCCATTAGATCCAACAGAGGGAGCATGCTGAAGACACCATCTGCCAGGTATCTACAGTTGACAGGCCCTAGGAAGCAGCCCTGCCCTATGGAATATTCTCCCACAGACACTAGGTTAGCCCCATCCCTTTTAATGTTTACATTTCCTTAAGTCCCTCAAGTTTCTTTATGGCAGGGGTCTTCAAACTTGACAGCTTAAGACTTGTGGACTTCATCTCTCAGAATTCCTCCTCCAGTCATGTTAGCTCAGGAATTCTGGGAGTTGAAGTCCACAAGTTGTAAGCTGTCAAGTTTGAAGAGCCTTGCTTTATGGCAACAAGGAACTACCAAAAAGACTTGTTTAGATGGTTCCACAGTTAAGGTAGATGTACTAACTCAATCTCTGCTTGGAATTTGCATGTATTTTTATTTTAAATATCTTCATTTTAATGCTGACTTCTATTTTTAAATGGTTTATAATGTATTCTTTTTACTATTGTACACTATAAAATATAGTATATATATTTTACTAGTCGCGTTTTATGAGGTGAAATTATATATTTTTAGAGACAATAAGGTGGCAGATGATCCTGATCAGAGGGAAAAGAGGTCCTTGGTGCTGATTTTGGTTGAGCACCAAGGACTGTTATTTCAACCCTGTGGTGAGGGGAAAGGGGACCCTCACCATAGCTTAAAATAGCCACTAAGCCCCGCTGATATCACTCACAATTACCTATCTTCACCTCTGATACAATGGGTGTCAAAGCATAACACAGTGGAAAAAGATGCTCATATTTATATAGTAGGATGCAAGTGGGGAAAGGGCTGGATTAGGTATGCATTGAACAGAAAGTTTTCTTTCAAGCTCAGTCTAAATTTCTCTGTTTGACTAAATAATTGAATCAGCTAAAGTTTGGTAGAAATAGGTCTGGATCATTTGGGGTAAGTTTGGGCAAAAACCAAATCCAAAGGAATGTGAGTAATTTTAAAGAGAACCACCCTGGTGGACATTACTTGTTCTGTCATATTTCTCCATATGGCTTTTCCTTCCTTCCTTAAGGTGTTCTGGCACGTCCCCCATCCCATCCCAACCCCAAAGGCCTTCTCTTAACTACCAATACCAAAGTTCATAATAAAAGCAATAAAAGTAACCTTTGCAGATTTTAGAAAGAGCCGGCATGGTCATACTCCACTCAGTATCATACTCCACCTGTAGTGGTCAACAGTATTGTATTAAGTATCTGGAGGTACAGATAACTAACAATCTAATGGTCCCTCCACACATCGTCCTTAGTGAAGTGTGCAAACCAGTGTCTGCACTTCCTGCGTTGGACAAGAGCATATCTTCCTCCTTGTCCAGGCCACTTTTTACAGAGGCACAATTGAGATTGTTTTAACAAATTGCATCAGTTTGGTTTGGTGGCAGCAGTGCCTCAGCTAGAAAGTCCATAGAGTGGTAAGGCCAGCCGAGGTTATAAGAAGCTTGCTTCCTGTTATTCAGAATACTGCTTAGAAGCGCTATGTGGGATCCCTAACAAGCTCAAAGCATACATCTACTATATGGTCTGTTTCTGTTGCTCCCCTTTGGGAGGAAGTTTCAAAGTATTTCTACAGGACTACCAGACTCTTTCACAGCTTTGTTCCCTATACCATCTGGTAAACTGCTCCCTATGAGTCTGGTAAACTCACAAGATTCATTTTTCTTGCCATGTACAAGAATACATCCAAACTGCAATGAAATTTCATTTTAATGTATGCAAATTAGTGTATATTCAAAGTGACATCTATCAATCATGCAAGTTGTCCCCAATGCCAAGTTCTTTTCCATTCTTCTGACCACCTGCACCAATCATGTTTCCATTCATATCCAGAAGAAATCAAAGCTGTTGTTTACAGATCAAAACATCCACAATACTATCTGAAATCATTTGTCTCATGCCCAAAACTCTTTGCAAATCCCTAATAATGTAGGGGAGATTATGCCAAAACTAGGAAGCACATTTACAAAGAGAACACAAAGCATTAGAGTAGACCTCAATTGGTATTGCACATCAACTTTTTAATGTCAAGCAGTGTCCTGGAACATGAATAAAGATGAGATGAACCAGTATGTATGGCAAGCAGCTTCATAATTCTGCACTAGAGCTGTATTGAGTAGGTGACTTGTTACAAGAGTGAGATACAGTATCCAAATGACCTCTGGTCAGGAAGCAAAATAGGAAACACCTACAAACACCAGGTGTTCATATATCATAGGATAATCAGAACATTGACTTCATTACAAAGCCATGTGGGAAGCTTTGCATTTTTCCAAGGAATGTAACAAAAAGCTGCAGCCATACTTGAGTCCTCATGTAAGTTCATATAGACCTTTGTGGGCAGTTATAACCTGCCCTTTATAGAATTTGATCCCAGATTTGCATTGTCATCTTATAAATTTACTCCAGAACATGGAGGACCCAGATTGTTGGGGGCAATATATTGACTCTGTAAACCACTTAAGAGCTGTAAAGGTACCATGAAATGGTATATAAAGTCTAAGTGCTATTGCTGTCTGGAAGAAACATTGATAGGCACTTGCATACACACACACTCTCTCTCCTTTGACAGAGACTATAACAAAGTTCTCAAAATCAAAGCCCATTAGGAATTTCAGAAAAAAGGCTCGTTCTCAGTTCATTTTATTAATCAATGACTTGTAATCCAGCAAAGTAGTTTCCATTTGTTGCTGCAGATTAAGAAATTAAGCAGGAAATGAAACACTTGTCTACTGCATATCAAACTCGGGTACGTTGAGCTTTTATTTTAACATATTCCTGCTAGGAATATTTTCAGAATTTAAGGAGTTAAAAGAGATCCGGTTTTTATTTTAAATACATTCGCTCCCCAAGTAGTTGCTGTCACTCGGAATTAAACCTAAGATACCCTATAACGGCGCCTTCTACAAACTCAACCCTACTATAGTTGAGCCATTTGAAGAGTACCGTAGTCCCCACCATGTGCGCATGCACCTCAATGGTCTCAGTAATTTCTTGACACTCTCATGAACGGCTTGCCCTTGGCTATTTTCCCAAGGCCGGTTGGCCCAACGGCTCCCACTTACCGTCGTGCTTAACCAGAACTCGCCGTCTCCCGATGCTTTTAACCATCGCATTAAGCTATCAATTACCTTAGTAAAGATCAGAATAGTACGCATATTATACGGCTGACTGCTTTAAGTTTAAAAAGCACTTAGAGACTTTCAGCTCCTTTCGAGACGAGGGTGGCGGCTCTTAAAAGAGCCTTTGGGTATGGCGGTTTGTTTTTTGTTTCGAAAAAGGCCGAAGGAACCGGAGGGGCGCCCGACTTAAGCTCTCTCCCCGCGGATGCGCCGCGCCAGCTGAATGTCCTTCGGCATGATGGTCACCCGCTTGGCGTGAATGGCGCACAGATTCGTGTCCTCGAACAGCCCCACCAGGTACGCTTCGCTCGCCTCCTGCAACGCCATCACGGCCGAGCTCTGGAAGCGCAGGTCGGTCTTGAAGTCCTGGGCGATCTCACGCACCAGCCGCTGGAAGGGCAGCTTGCGGATCAGCAGCTCGGTGGACTTCTGGTAGCGGCGGATCTCTCGCAGGGCGACGGTGCCCGGGCGGTAGCGGTGAGGCTTCTTCACGCCGCCCGTAGCAGGGGCGCTCTTGCGGGCAGCCTTGGTGGCCAGCTGCTTGCGCGGCGCTTTGCCGCCGGTTGATTTCCGAGCCGTCTGCTTCGTCCGAGCCATCTCTTCGCAGAAAGGGAAAAAGAGGAACTGAAGAAAACAGTTTCGCGGGACAGCATTTATACATCGCCTTCCACTTTTGATTGGCTACCGCTAAGAAAAAGCCTCTTTCCATTGGAAGAAAGCTAATCATTGATTGGCTGAAGCTAGGAAACTAAAGCTTCATTGGATAATTTAAAAGTGAGCGCCATAATTTAAGATGAGACTGCCAATTTTAGCTTTTTTGCTTCAATACTTGTATTTAATTTAAATTAGTATTCTATGCTTTCTCCGACTTTTATTGTTTTTTTTAAAAACCGAAAGGTAAAATCTGTTTTTTCCGTTCGTTCGCAGCTTGACTGAAAATTAAGGAACTAGGAAATTATTACTGGCGGGTTTTTTTTTCAAATATTTTATTGTTGGAACAAAGTACGTTATATTCAATTATACTCAATGAGTACCAATTTCACTTATGCACGGGCACCCGTTGAGAACGTGGTTTCGCTTCAATTATAACATTAAACTATTACATCCTAAGTGTTCTATCTCCCGTTCAATATTAAAATAGCCATTTATGTATTTATTTGGCCCTTCTAAGGAGTAGCAGTCTTAGTATGAAATCATTTAACCGAGACTTCTTGAAAACTTTTAGTAACTCTGTGCTCTGATACAACCACACAACAGCAAACACTATTACTTTGAATTTCTGGAAGGGGCAATTAAATACTGATCGGAATAAACGAGTGGCTTTCACAGGTCGTGATGTTTTCGAAATGTTCTAAACGCTGATACAGCAACTATCTTAAAATATCATTAATCTTTTTCCATTCTCCGTAATCGGGGAAAGAAGGGGCAGGGAGAGATACGTAGCGAATACACCCAACAACAAATGTCTCAATAATAAACCAGTAAGTGCGGTTTTATTTTATACTAACTTGCATGCAAATAAAAGGGTTCTGGTTGTCGTTTTCTATTGGATAACAGAGCAAAGAGTTACGACCGATTGGATTACTTGACATCGAGTGGCTATTGGCTGTTCAGATGACGTCTTAGTGTGAGCCTATCACAAGCGCATCACAAAACCCTTTGATAGGGAAGAAAAAGACCTGTAATTCAACCTGAGCGAACGAAATCTTCATTCACAAGCTCTTTTAAAGTTACGCACCGTCCATTCGGTTTCCCAGTCGGGGAAACAAGCATCTTTTCTTTTTAAATTAGGCATGATTCATATTTATTGACAGTCCATTTAAGCTTTTAGGGTTTGCGATATCGGTTGCAATATCGGTAACAATGTTGCAATATCGGTAACAATATATTTCATAGGACCTACACTTTCGATATAAATGCTCGTTTAATGAACTACTGAAAAGTGGGAGAACTTCCTTTAGCAAGTGAAAGCCCTTAATATAAAGTGCCCACTTAACAGTGACATTTGTTGCCCAGTTGCTTACTAACCAGATACGAGTGGAAACCCGCTACGCCCGCTCCCTCCCCACTTTTCATAAGCAATGATTAGTCTGCTGTGTATGGATCTCCGTTCTTAAGTGTAGTTGGCTTAAAGCTCAATTACATCCCTAAACGGTGCAGAATGATGCCCTAGTGTACAAGATTCCACGCAAGCCACATTTCATTGTTTCAGGGTATTAAAAGCATCCGGTCAGCGTTTTACTGAGCGGACAACAGCTCTCTTTTAGATTCTGTGGGTGGCTCTTAAAAGAGCCTTTGGGTTTTTAGAGAAGCAACCACGGGCCAACTCTGGATTTACTTCTTCTTGGGCGCCGCCTTCTTCGCTTTGGCCGCTTTAGGCTTGGTCTTGGGCTTGGCCGTCTTCGGCTTCACAGCCTTCGCTTTAGCCGGACTTTTGGCGACTTTCTTAGGCTTGACCGGTTTAGCCTTTTTGGGGCTCTTGGTGGCCTTCTTAGCCGCCGCGGGCTTTTTGGGTTTCTTCGGACTCTTCTTGGCCGCCGCTGCCGCTTTTTTGGGCTTCTTGATGGCACTCGCGGGTTTCTTAGCAACCGGCTTCTTAGGCTTAGCTGCTTTCTTTTTGGGCGCTTTCTCTTTCCCTTCGCCCGATTTCTTGCCGAGTTTGAAGGAGCCAGAAGCACCGATTCCCTTCGTATGCACCAAGGTGCCTTTGCTTACCAGGCTCTTCAAACCCAGTTTGATGCGGCTGTTGTTCTTCTCCACATCGTAGCCCCCAGCGGCCAAAGCTTTCTTCAGAGCAGCCAGAGACACCCCTTTGCGCTCCTTGGAAGCGGCCACCGCCTTAGTGATCAGCTCGGTGACGCTGGGACCCGACGCCTTGCGCGCTTTCGCCGCTCCCGCTTTCTTCGCCTTCTTAGCAGGAGCTTTCGAAGCTACAGCTGGCGCCGCAGCCGTAACAGCAACAGCAGGCGCCGTTTCAGACATGATCGCTGAGAGAACCAACTAAAAAAAAAACCTCCAAACACAAAAAGTGAGCTCAAGTAGGTCAGCCGCTGTTTATTTATAGAGCTGAGCTGCTTTGTGATTGGTCCGCTCCAGAACCCGCCCTGTTGCAAGGCTGAAGGGACTCTTCCGACCGCTCAGTTTGTGTTTCTTTAGAGTTAATAAATTGCAAATTTTACAGAATTTATGCCACTAAATAACGAAATCTTAGAATGGGAAAAAGAGGAAAGTGTACTTTTTATTCCTTTAATTTTTCAAAAAGCAGAACGCAACATATACTTTTTAAAAGGGCACTTAACCACCGAATGCAGGATCTGGGAAGACCTGGACAGAGTGGAAGTTTTGTTTTTCTTTGTAAATTAAAACAATGCATTTTTTTAAATGTTCGGGAAAACTATGCAGACCACTTCTTTAGATAGTAATCTCTGAGGTGAGGCACAATATGTGGGTTTTAGCATAACAGCCTCACTACAAATCAAGTTCAAGTAAACTGAGGTAACACAGACTTCTACGAAGTACACTCACCATTGCTAAGCAAGCAAGCCCTAAGCAAGTCACTATCTTCAAAGAAAAACTGTCAGATAATATAACAATATGGGCAAAATTAAAATTTCATATGCTAATATATATGGTACAATACCTTTTTCTCATATTTACAAACTTCACCCTATATTGAATGCAAAAAGGCAACCTAAAAATCAACCGTTTTAAGTGAGACCTTTTACAACTCAGTTTTGGAAGATTAACACTAATATTCCTGGTTGGGGATTGAATAATTAAAAAAATTAAAGGATTTTCCTGTTGAGATTTCACCCAAACATAAGGAACAAAATGACCAGACACATTTCTATATAAGAGAGCTACATTCTGCTGAATTCAATGGGATTTACACCTAAAAAAATAGAGATTACAGTTTAGATAGAATTTCACATTTTTCATTGTAGAAAAGTTTTATGGAACAAATATTTTATTAAAAATTCTGATTTATGCCTCAGTCTAAATAAGTGCAGTCAGCATGGAAACCACTTTGCTGTCAAAGGAATTTATTTTTTTAATTGGTTTGGCATTAAATCCTCAGCAATGTTCTGATTACTGAGCATCATCATATTTCCTTTGTTACATTTGAGTACAAATAGCCTTTCAAACTACATCCTATATAGTTATTTGGATGAAAGTCTCAAGTCGTGATTCATTTACCTGTAAATTTACAGCGTACACAGGGATGAAGAAAATCTAGGTGCTTTAGACATACCTTTAGAAGCAATGGGTATATGAAACTACAAATGCTGGACATGTCAGGAATGAAATAAATTTAGGAGTCAATGGAATTTATACTCAAATACTTGTACAAAGGATAATGAACTTTTATAGAGAATCCAAGGCAAGTTTATATTACTAAAACTGCTACTAGAATACTTCATTTGGGGCTACATGTACCACTAGCTTTCCTGAAAAACATTTAGTGAAAACAACCAACAAATCAACTCTGTGAAAACTCAGAGAAATGTAAAGTGTTGATATTTAGGTAGGAGGCTTTAAACTAAGATTTGTATGCCTATTTTATGCATTTTCAGATGATGAAGCGCTCTGAAGTGAGTTCTTCTCCTTTAGCCATGAAATCTGGCTGGGTGTTTCCCTTAGCCAAACTGCCTCACAGGGTTGTTGTGAGGAAAACAGGAGGAGGGAGTATTGTGTTCCTCCCTTGAAATATTTGTAATAATACAGGCAGGATTTTAAAAAGTCTCTTTCCTTACGTACAAACATATGTACGCTTCCTCTCCTCCCCCCCCCCCTCCGTAGAAAATGTAACTGCAGCAACAATAGCATTTTGCTAAAGAGCGACAATCACGAAATCCTGAAGGTCTCGGTTTGCCAGAGATGCTCCGGAAAGTCGCAAAAAACAACATAAACATCAAACTAAAGTAGTAGGCGGGGCTTCCTGCCATTAACCAAAGCGCGCGTTTTCAAATCCAGAAGATTTCCAATGGAAATTGCCTTCCTTGGACCAGCCAATAAGGAGAGGAACCGGGACTCGCTATAAATTGGACAGAGAGTCTCAACCTTCCTTTAAAGGCTTTTTCTCTCGTCCAAGTTTGGCGCGAGCGGAGAGATGGCTCGGACGAAGCAGACGGCTCGGAAATCAACCGGCGGCAAAGCGCCCCGCAAGCAGCTGGCCACCAAGGCTGCCCGCAAGAGCGCCCCTGCTACGGGCGGCGTGAAGAAGCCTCACCGCTACCGCCCGGGCACCGTCGCCCTGCGAGAGATCCGCCGCTACCAGAAGTCCACCGAGCTGCTGATCCGCAAGCTGCCCTTCCAGCGGCTGGTGCGTGAGATCGCCCAGGACTTCAAGACCGACCTGCGCTTCCAGAGCTCGGCCGTGATGGCGTTGCAGGAGGCGAGCGAAGCGTACCTGGTGGGGCTGTTCGAGGACACGAATCTGTGCGCCATTCACGCCAAGCGGGTGACCATCATGCCGAAGGACATTCAGCTGGCGCGGCGCATCCGCGGGGAGAGAGCTTAAGTCGGGCGCCCCTCCGGTTCCTTCGGCCTTTTTCGGAAAAAACAAAACAAAAAACCGCCATACCCAAAGGCTCTTTTAAGAGCCGCCACCCTCGTCTCGAAAGGAGCTTGAGCCTATTTCTCAAACAAATCCCGAGGCGGTTAAGGAAGCTTAAGTAAATGCCGTTTCCCCCAGTGTACCTAGATTGTAGCAAGGAAAGGGTGAATTTTGAAGTACACCTAGTTCATTTTAAGGCCCGATTGTTCTGGACACAAGTGTTTCCATTATTTAAACCGCCATTTTGAGATCGGGAAAATTCTGTATACGGTGGAGACTTAGGACTATCTGTGTAAAGGAATTTCTGTAGCTTTGAAAAGGGTTATTTCACCTCAATTGTCCAACTCCTGCGCTTGCCCCAGGGCAGTTACCAGGTCTGATTTTTCTCCGATGAGTGAAAAAGGAGAACCTACATTTCTAACTTCCCCCCCCAACGGCCAGGACACCGCTGAAAACAAACCTCAACTCCCGCCAAGAACTCTAAATAGCAATTTACGTGAAAGGGACAGCCCCTCCTGAATTTTGGTTAAAGAGAGCAGAACTGTCCCATTTGTTAAACCTTAAAAATCTCAAAACCTGTTTCCATTAATATTTTAATTTCAAATTTTAAGAAATACTGCAAACTTCTATGTCCCAAATGTGCTTTTCCAAGACAACTTTTATTTTCTGTTGGTTTTTTTTTTCCTTGAAGTTTTCTTCCTCATCCAATATTCTTCAGTTCTGACTGAATGGTAAATTGAAAGTATTTATATCCCTTGCAGGAGCATACTATAAAATGTATTCCCTACCTAAGTAACTTCAAGGAGAGCTGATTTGACTACGAAACTTCTTAAAATCTGGCTGTTTCAGTTTTTCTTTAATTATCCCTTTCATTTTTTGAAAAAGGTCACATTACTTATTCACAAATTCCTAGATATTGATATAACCCACCCAAAGGGCTATATCAATAGGTAGTCCTTGACTTATCACAATTCTTGTTGCTAAGCAAGGCAGTTAAGTGAGTCGTGCCCAATTTTACAATCTGTTTTGCCATGGCTGCTTAGGGAATCACGGCAGTTAAGTGAATCAGTGCTGCTAGCAAAGCTTGTGTCCCCCATTGACTTAGCTTGTTGCTAGCTGGCTGGCTGGATTGTAAATGGTGATCATGTGACAGGATGCTACAGCTGTCCTAAACACATCCCACTTGCCAAGTAACCAAATTCTGATCACATTATCATGGGGATATTGTAACAATCGTTAAGTGAGGACTGGTCTGGTCGTAAGTCACTTCTTTCAATGCCATTGTAACTGAACCATCACTAAAGTGGTTGTAAATCAAGAACATGCCTTTTAGAATCATGGTGTTTAATCTTCCACTGCGCAGTGTTATTTTACTTTGCTGAATGTAACTTTGTATCTTTAAATGAATACTTTATTAACACAATACAATGAATCAGTTTACCATGGTGAGATCAAGCAGGCAGTGTGCCTAAGTCCCTGTTGAGAGTTTCAGTACATGGCATGAGTTCAGATCACAGGATAGAGAAAATCGTTAACCATGGAAAGAATGTCATACGAATGCAGTCACAAAAAATAATTAGTGATAATTAGGGAAACATTTTATGCTTTCTGAATGTTTGTCATATACCTTTGCTGTTATTATTTCTATCTACCACCACTAAACTTTTCTGATTTAGACATAACATAAGTCTCAAAGGTAACATTTAGATGGAACATGGGGAAAACAAAAGATATTACAGACACTTGCCTACCATAGAAACAAAGGAAAATAACATTAAATAATTAAACATAAGTTTTTAAATAGGCTCTCTTACTTCTATTTCCCCAAAATCTTAGGGAGATGCTAAAAAATATTCCTAACCCTGTCTCCTCAAGGGGAAGGGGGGAGTATTCTCAGGCTTTCCTTCTGAGCCTATTTCAGACCTGTTGTTTTGCTAATACTTCCTGCATCCCTCTTCCTTATGGGAATATAACTGAGAAATGCCTCACATTGCCATCCTTTGTTTGGTAGTTTTTATTACAGGAATTTTCCTTCCATAACAAGGAACATTTCATTTTTCCTTTAAACCAGGGGTCTCCAACCTTGGCAACTTTAAGACTTGTGGACTTCAACTCCCAGCAAAGCTGTCTGAGGAATTCTGGGAGTTGAAGTCCACAAGTCTTAAAGTTGCCAAGGTTGGAGACCCCCTGCTTTAAACCACACTAATCCAGCTGTTCTGGAGGTTTTCTAATAATTCTCTAAACTGAAAGTGGTTTATGATGTTTCAGATATGGTCATGACCTGAGACAGGTTTGTTTCATCTGAAGCAGTATATAGTACAACAAACTTCCAATTCAGTATATTAACTGCTCCTGGAATGACTGGTTCAGTGTGATCCAAAGAAAAAATGTAAGGTTCCAGAATTTTTTAACCATTAAATTCCCAGGAACAAGATGTAGTAAATATCTATTTTTCAGGACACTTTTGTTCAGTTCATTTATGACCCTTCAAAACACCAAAAAGCACCAGCCAATATAAATTTTACTTTCAGATGTTAAATCTTCTGATTGTACAATATATTCATGCTGTAGCACATCCCATTCCTGCTTCACACACTTATCACTACAGTTTAGATGCCTTGTAACCTCAAGATAACTTTCCCCAATTTAAGGAGTTCAAAAATTTATTGTCAGTGGATAGAAAAATTAACCATGTTAGATACACAAAGCAGAATCCATACTTTCCTAGCTTAGAAGCAGGTGAAATGTTATGTTGACAAAATAATAAATTAGTGAGCACTAAATCAGTGCTCCTTCCCTTAATGTTTGCTGTTTTTTAAGCCTAGTCCTCTGAACAAAATCATTTTCCCCTCCCTTTTTGTCTAGAAAATGCCAAGATTTTAAGAGTTTGTAGGCAAGCCTAAAGTACAAAAGAATGAAAGACAGGATTCATGGACTGTATCTTTCTCTCAAATGAAATCAATGACATGTCATTTCCTAACTTCATGAGCACCAAATCCATTGAATGTTACCTCTGTATCCCACCAGCCACCATAATAAAAAAATTAGGAATATGAACTACGAAGTTGGGGAACACTGGAAAAACAAAATATCTCTTTCCTGAATCCATTGGAGATTAAGATTTACTAAATATCGTTACCTAATTTTCAGATGAACAATTTAATCAAAGTCCTCATTCTCTTTCTAAATATAAAGTGTTAATGCAGACACAAAAAAGGTATTACATCAAATATTTATTCTCTAATAAAACAATGGCATTTGTCCTGCCAGCAAGAAGCCACTAATGTGACTGCAGAATAAGCAGGATACAAACCATTTGCAATGCCACATATGGAAACAATCTTGTCTGCCCACCTCTATGACAAGTGTACAAACCAAGAAATTTCACCAACTAAAAAATAGCATTGTGAAATATTTACAGAAGCCACCCAAACACAAAAGCCTGATGATCAGGTTTATATGTAAGAGATTAGAACCAGAATTTACCCTGGTAAACTATGTATTTCTTCTGATCACTAAAAATATTCAAGACAATATACTTCCCATACAGCACAGTCTTTCTTAAGAATTGATAATATGACAGTGCCTTTTATTCAATTTTTCTATTTCGATTTATCCTCTCAAGTATGATCGTAGATTAGGATGGAAGATACTTTATTGTCACAAAAGATGTTCAACTGGATGCCATTATAACATGGAACCCCACTCCATATCTCATCATAGAAGATAAAAATCTTAATTGTCACAGAAGCCCCTCCATCTCCTTCATGAAAGCTTCATAAACATCATCCTTGGTCTGCACAGAAACAGGGGCAGATGAGCCAACTTTAGGAGTTGTTTTGGTTATCTGAACAGAAGGCTCATCATCAGGTTTTCTCAAGACAGAGGCAGCTGTTCCCTTATTCTCTCGCCGAACTCGAAGAGCTGTAGGCACAAACCGGGTGATCTCAGCCTTGGGGTTTGTAATCTGTGGCTTGGCACTAATCGTTGCTGTGGCTTTCTTCTCAATGGTGGCTGCACTAGTATCATCTGCCTTGGGGCGCTGAATCAAGCTTGGGGGAGCGCTCAATACACCTGGATTTGGAATGGGAGCAGGTGGGAATAACCCAGGTGGAGGAACCAAAGGAGGACGTAACATGCCTGGACGAGGAGGGGGAATACCTGCAGAAAGAGAAACTGTTATTCTTCTGATCTTTGTGAAGAATAAAAATTTAAATCTTAAGTTATATACTATGTCTCAGTTAAGATTCCCAAGAATTTTCCTAATCATAAATTCATTGTTTTCATTTTCTTACATGCACAATATCCATGAAAATTCAAGAGATCTATCAAGAAAGACTAATCCTAAGTCACATATCCTAGTGAATTTCAGTTCTACCTACACAATTCATGTATGACAATAGTTACAATAGCAGAGTTACAGGCCAGCAGTTGAATTCCAAAGTATAAACATTCCTATCGCTGCACTTGCTAAAATTGTGCAGTACACAAAGTTCAACAATTAATATTTATTTGCTTCAGTCACGATCTCTCATTTCATGGAATCCCAACTTAGAATGAGATCTCTGTTCTACTAGGAATCACTGAAGAAAAACATCCATCACTTCTCAATGATAACATTACCTGGAGGAGCTGGAGGTGGCAGACGAGGTGGGGGGCCCCTAGGAGGTGGGCCAGGAGGCAAACCAGGAGGTGGGCCAGGTGGAGGACCAGGTGGCCGGCCAGGTGGAGGACCAGGAGGTAAGAGCCGTGGCAAAGGTCCACGCAGTCCAGGCAATCCAGGTGGTCTTAAGAAAGGAGGAGCACCTACAAGTATCATATAGATACATGTTAGTTGACTATTTCTCAATTAAGGGTAATTCTTCAGTATCATTTTCTAATTGATATGGTTTAGATTGAAAAAATGTTTCAAGAATGTGTTGTTTACAAAGCACTCCAATTCATTCTATGAAAAGGGTGATTTAACAACTAAAACAAATTATTTTCTTTCTGAATCAAGCTCTCCCATATGTACAGGTAAGTATGCATAGTAGTATGTATGTGCGTATGCAACACACACATCCCAGTTTGTCACATGTATATGTAGAATAGTATATATCCATCCCAATTTGTCACAAAAGGGGGGGGGATTTATCTTTTATGACAAATTCTGCTGAGGTAACTGAAGTTCAGTTTTGTGTAAAATATAGCAATCTTTTTATTCATCACATAAAACTACACCAGCGCCCTTACATATAGCTAGTTTAATAATAAAACTGCCTGTTCAAATACCCACCTGGAGGGGGCCCAGGAGGAAGGCCAGTAGGAGGTCCTGGTGGTCTCAAAGGTGGTGCAGGAGGGGGTCCAAGAGGGGGTGGCCCAGGCATCGGAGGTGCTTGGATCTGAGTTGGAGGGACAGGCTGAGGTGGAGGTTGCTGCTGGGGTGGATTTGTTTGAGAAGGCGTTGAGGATCCCATCTCTGAGTGTGATTCTTCTGTGATTTGCTGC